AGGAAGAAACCGAGGGCGAAGCACCACATTGTGTGGTCGGTTAGGAACCGGCGGGTCTCGGCGTTGAGGACCCATGTTTTCTTGATGCGGGCGTTGTCGTCGTCTTCTTCTTCCGAGTCGGAATCGTTGTCGGGCTTGGAGGGGTCGAGAATGCCGGCGCTTTCCATGTCGAGGGGTGATTGCTCGATGGCGCCGTAGCCCGGTCTGTCTGCAGTCCAGCTCCCCTGGAGGAATGTGCTTCCGTCGAGGTAACCGCTGCGTTCCAGTTCTTCGACAGCTTCGTCGATTAGGTCTTCTTCGTCAACGATCTTCAAGCCGAACGTGCCTAGGCAACCAACAACGAATAGCAGGACGCCCAGGAAGATGAAGAAGTGAAAGACGTCCAAGTCGCCCTTTGTCCCATCCGCGAATCTTTCATAGAACACTCGGCTTCCCAGCTGGCTCTGCCACATCCCGCTCAGTCCAAACGCGGCAATAGGCACCGCAAGTGCCAGTCCCCGATGTTTTCCTCTTCCAAAGTTCTTTGCACACGTCGCCACGGCGCTCATATACATGGAGCACGTTCCCACGCCGATGAACACAAACGCAGTAATCATGGCCGCATACGCCAATCTTCCGGTATCCTCGCCATCAGCACCGTTGCCCAACGTCGCCCCATCCGCCTCCCGCTTATACACCCCTGCAGCCAGCCCATACCCAGCCGCAAAGAACAGCGCCGACACAAACGATAGTGGTCCCGGCCCCACGCGATCGCACATGTACCCCAGCAAAGGCACCGGCATGTATGTGGCGAACGAAGCGGCGCTCGACAACCCGTTGACCTCGAACTGAGTGTAGTGTAGACGCTCCTGGAAGATGTGGCCGTACATGCTGAAGATGGTTATGGAGCCGGCGCAGAGGGAGGAGAGCAGGGCCGAGGCGAAGGAGAGATTGCGGGCCGAGGCAGCGGCGGCTGGGGAGGTACGCCCATTGTGGCGACGTCGTCGGGACGGGGAGAGGGAACGGATGGAAGAAGCGCATGAGGAAGTCGAGTCGGATTGGAGGAGGGGGGTCGAGGCAGAAATCTGATCCGGCCGGGGGGCCGGAGTGGGTGATGCCATTTCGGCGAGCTCGATGGTGCTGGCGTTGTTTGTAAAGTCGTGAAAGAAGGGTCGAATGGAATGTCTCAAATTCGAGCGAGGTAGAGAGAATGAAGAGAGCCTGCTTTGGAGAGGCCGCAAAGGTTGGTGATTTAGCGGGAATGCTGCGGTTGCGTTGTCACAAGCCTAGAGTAGAAGGTGGGAAGAGAGGGCAAGATAACGATGTTGTATTGCAAAAGATGAGGGCCGCAACACAGACCCTGGATAGATTACCTATCTCACCGTCTCGAAAGGAAGAAAGGATGAGGCGAAGATGGGAGAGACGAGATGACACGCAAGTCAACGGTGAACCAATGCTCTCCAACCGATAACGACGACTTGCAACGATGACGGAGGCTTGACTCAATTGGTGTTCAGGTGACTGCAATCACTGATCGGTCCACCAAATCAGGGCGCGAATGCAGGGCTAAATTCCCGCTAACAGAGAGTGGGCCACGGCGTGCCTGGCGGAAAGTGGGTCTGAGCTTCAAAGTGCGGAGAGATCCGCATGTCACTGGGTCGATTTGTCACCGCCTCCAACCCTTACCCTCGCCCCTCCGCTTTCGATACAGAAGGGACTTTTGATCACTTTTCTCACACCAGGAAAAGGGAAAACATCGAGTACACTCAACTCTCCATCTGGATTGGGTTCACTGTTCTTTGACCTACGGAATTGTCTCAATTCTTGACGGCGTCAACACGGCAAAATGTTATATCCAAATGACATAGCCACCAATGTGTGCTGCCTCTGCTTGTCGGCGGGAGGTTGTCAGCACTTGTACACTCTTTCAGCTGAAGTCAGATGGTCTTCAGGTTCGGTAAATTCTATCGACTATGAAAGATTTGTTGATCCTCAATGTTATGCTAGATTTTCAGCATCATTTTGCAATTTCTTCTCGGCCGGTTTTCCACTTTATGTCGGTGTCTCAGGCATTGAGATGTTTCCATGCAAATAACTAGGATGTCTCTTACTCAACATACAGAAACTAATGCTCCTCTGCCGGTGGTGATTATTGGCAAAAGGGGTGAAACCGGAAGTGCTGTCGCTAAATCACTGCTGCCAGATAGATAAGGTACATATCGCAACCATAACTCCCTTCATAATCTCTGCCCAATTTCTGACATGAGTAGGTGATAACCCACTTTATCCAAGTTCTCAAAGCAGCTTACGCTAGGTAAGCTTTATCCTATTGCGCCTCCTTAAATCTCCCTGCCCAGCTATGTGGGCGCCACAAGTACGACAGACAGCCCCAAGCAGTCATCATCGGTCGAGCCCATTTGGTCGAAGAGGTTGAAGAGATGCGAGCAAGCTGTGCCAGAATTGCCAAGGAGCCCGTAGCTTGGAGGCAATCCTCTCAACGCTTCGCGTCTTGTTTTTACCTGACAAGTAACAGGTGAGCAGACGCTGCAGGATACAGTACCCCCAGGTGAGGAATCAAGCCAGTAACCCTAACCCTCAGGGGTGCACGCTGCTGCATATAAAATACCTTTATTTATTTATTCTTTCGGACTGGCACGCTTTGCATTTATACCAGTTTCACCTTCTGCCCGCCAACTCAACATCAACCGCCCTCAATCATGAGGGGAGTCAAACGCACTCGAACCAACAACGGCGATTCTGATATTGTCTTGACCACATCCGAAGCCATGCAGAATGCACTCGCCAAACAGTTCGAGGCTCTCGGGTCAGACGTGGGGTTGCGGCTAGCAAACCTGCGAACTCTCTTGTCATCTCTCACGCCCCAGGAAACGCACTTCATGAGATTACATCTCCAAAGTCTGCCCCCGCCAGCAGACATTATCTCTCGTTTTCCAGCCGATATTCTCGTTGAGATCTCCCCATACTTGTCCACTTTGGACATCGTCAATATCCTAAATGTGTCCAAGGCGTGGAGGAAGTCGTGGGCTCAACGCGAAGTCGTGAGGGCTCTGGCCAAGCACCACATGCCCAATTTTCTCCCGTTCTACGCTCACCGAAACAGGTTACAATCTCCCGAAGCCTGCACAGACCAAGACTTGTTCAACTCCTTCTACCAAGCCGCTCGCAAGTTCAGTATCAGACAGCAGGGCTTGTTCCAATCCATGATCTGCAACCCTGCGCCGTGGCTTCACTTTGTCACTCGCGACAGGTTCTTCACCCTGGAGCCTACCGAAAGCATAGGAGATTGGGATGATGTTTTTCCAGACCAGGATATTGACGACTTGAATCCTGATCGTCTCCACGATGAGAACAAAGAGTTACCCAACCAATGGAGAACTTTTCGATACTGTAATGGAAAAGTGGCCTGGCAGCCTGATGATGATGATGACAACCTCGCATCTCTTATTTTTGTAGATGACTTACGAAGCCAGCGACGCAAAGTATACAAAGTTCCCGTTGCTGTGGTTCTCCATGGCTGCGTCGCTGAATTGCTGGCTTTGGGCAGTGAGCTGGTCGTGGTACAAGTACAGAGGACCTGGTTTGTCGCCGCGTCCCAATATCGCTCTCCATATTTTACATACTAAAGTCTTGTTAGCTACGCATGGAACCTCGAAACAGGCGAACGTGATTCTGTGACCCTTCCATCTGCCGATATCCAGACGGTCGAATGCGAGAAAAATCGCGTATACATCTTGACCCCCGACGTCAAGGTGTATGTCTGGACATTCAAACAAGGTGTGCGAGAAGTTGACACAAGAGAGGCAAGGAAATATGCCGGCCCAGTCGCCTTCTATTCGGGCTGGCTCGATGCCGCGGACAGGCGAGGCATATTCGATCTAATTCCTCACCCGCTGCTCGATGATACGTTCTATCTTCTTGCTCTTCAAGATGATCCTGTTAAACTCGAGCGTGCGCTGGTGGTTCTCGAGTACAACCACAGTGGTACTCTGCACTTACATACCACAGCCCTTCCTCAAGTTCGGTCTCTTGCTCGGACGTGGGGTACGGGTGATTTCAACTCTGATTTCCATGACATGGATCGACCAGGTTCAACAGGAGGATACAAGGACTATTTCAAACCCACTACGCAGAAAGTCGATGCGTATGGCAACTACGCCGTATGCCAATTTCACCTCGATGGCTGGCCTAAGAGGCCTGACTACATCAATCAAGGGGTCTACGATGAGGATCATCCTATTTACGAGGATGTCGGCGACGATGAGAATGAAGCATCCTGGCTTGTGAACGTTTTCCTTGGGTTTACGGTCTTTTTCAACGCTTTGACAGCCTCGGTCTCAACCTCCCCCTTTATGTCTTCCACAGGTGTGGGACCTCATTCAACCGTCCGCTGGGGTGGTCAGCAAATCGACCTCGTCTTCGCGCCTACCAAGAGAAAGGATGTGGACTTCGCCATGTTATTGATATCGGAGTTGAACGGCCAAAGGCGTCTCGAGTCAATGGATGATCTTCCAGTTCATTGCCCGTCGACGCTCGAGGCAGTCGAGCCTATCCCCGTGACTCACCGTTTGACAAAACACCTCGACCACACACCTGCAAAGGCGGGAAAGATGGTGCATGGTCACAGATGCTCCAATATTGTTTCACGATTTCTGACTGAAAGCCTCGAATTCATTCCATCTCTTCAGCCGCTCTACGGCCTTGATATCACCTTCGAATACGAACAACTCATAGGTAAGGCCGAGTGTCTCGAGTATCATAACCCGTTCTATCTGCAGGCAGACGAGGACTTCCTTGTCTGTATCGGTTCAAAAGGCTATGTCGCGTGGAGCTTTTATCACGATATGAAAGACCTACAGGTGAAGGCTTAAATGATCACCTGCCTACATGTTACACGCGCTTGAGCCGCATGTCAATCCAGCTCTCATGGTACACGGCCCTGGCAATATCTTTAGACCGACTTTTGGGGCTTACTATGGATGGGACAGATGAACTGACGCTCAGAATTGCAAAATCGCGAGAAATGAAACAATAACAAATGAATTAGCTAGCCGTTGCCATGTCCATGTTCAGATACAACCATGCCCTTTCGATCAATACACTCCCTCGACGATGCAATTGTGCAATTGAAGCGTTCAGACCCGATTCACGCCAGCTGCACTCTCGGTATGAACAAACGACAAACGGCTATTGGGACTTCCAGCTTTCCCTTTCAACCATCTGAACCCCTTCCGTACCTCATGCCCCACCTTCTCTCTGTTTTCCCTCGCCCGTTCCAGACCTCCTGGCTTCAGACCACCAGGAAGCAACCACCACATCAGCAAGATAAACACCAAAATGGCCAACACAATAGGCTGCAAGACTGCCACGCCCTTCTTCTGGGCAATGGCGCCCACCGCAAACGGGAAGATGGCCGCACCACCACCGCCAAAGGCCGCGGCAAACCCAATTGCCGACACATGGTACCCAGGCGGCAGCAGCTTCGTAGCCGACACGATAGCCGCGGGGAACAGCGGGCCGAGGAAGAAACCCAGGAACGACACAAAGATGGCCGAGGCAACAAAGCTCGGCACTAACCAATACAGCAGTTGCAGCGCAATACACAGCAGGAGATAGACCGAGATGGCGACCTTCTCCCCGATGCGGCCCGTGATGAAACCCAACACCACTCGTCCCACCGTCAATCCCAGCCAGAAGAAAGTGACAGTCAACCCAGCATTGAAGGGTTCCGCATGCCGCACCTTGAGCATGAAAGTCACAATCCACCCGCCAAGGGAGACCTCAGCGCCGACGTAACCTAGCAAAAACATGGCGACAATCCAAGGGATAGGATCACGCATGACGGTGCGAGTCGTCGTCCGTTTATTAGTGCCTCCTTCGTTTTCACCACCATCACCAGCCACATCCTCCGCCTCCGACTCCGACTCGGCAATCCCCGCCCGATACACTTCCTTGGTTGCTGTCCAGAACGCGGCCGTCATCGCCACCAGCTCCGAACCATTCAACCCCACAATCACGTAGTAGAATGTATACCACTCCAACCCGCCCTTGGTTACCATGCTCGTGGCAATCAACGGTCCGATGGTCGCTCCCAACCCATAACACCCGTGAATAATTCCCAACAACTCATTGGCGTTTCTCATATTTCCTACCCAAGCATTCCACGCCGAGTCCTCAATTCCGTTGCCGAACCCGGTGAACAACATGACCACCGGCAACGCAGGATAAGGGAGGTGACATGCCATGGGTATGAACCCGATCAGCCTGCAAACGGGGCCCAAGATGGCGACGCCGCGTTGACCAAAGTGGTGGTGTATGAGGTTGTTGAATAAGGCGGCCAAGAGGTAGCCGATAAAGGGAGATAAAAAGACCAGGGACACGATGGTGTAGGAGATGGAGTAGTAGGTTTCCAGGTAGGGGATCAGAGCACCGATGGCGCCGTCGGACATGCCCATGAGGATGAAGGAGTAGCATATGAGGAGGAAGCGGAAGATGGAGGTGCGGGAGGCGTTCCAGGTCGTTTTCTTTTGGTCGTGGTCGGGTTGTTGGGGGCTGTTGGGGTTGGGCTGCTCGAGCTCGGGTTCCGATTCTTGCTCTGAAAATGGATGGGCTGTGGTGGTCTTGGATTTGGGTTCTCCGTCGATGGGAATGGCGAGGGACTTTTCGGGGTCGTGGTCGTGGTTGGTGTTGTTTGATATTGTTGGGGCTGGTTGGACGTTGTGGATTTGGTGATGGTCCATCTTCTCCGGGTCGGAGGGTGGAGGGGCGGTTGGTGAGGCCATTGTGGCCTTGGGGTGGATTGACGTGGTATTTCAACTGGTTCTTTTGGGGTCGAGAGACAGATAATGATATAGACCAGTGATCAAGTCAAACGAAGAATGATGATGAGTCCTTGTGGTGATATACCCGTCCAGGTCTGTTGGTCCTTTCAACAGCTGCGAGCGTAACACACCAGGCAAAGAGAGGGCTTCTGAATTCAGAACTGTCCTTGATCGAGTAGCTCCAAGGCCACGGCGAGTCGAAGTTTTTATATTTTAATCTTTTCAAGAGATCCCATGCCTCGTGATGTTGCCAGTCATGACCAGAAATCAACCCTACCACAAGCGTCCTATCTTGCCTCCTCCTCCCCCTTTTCTTATTCCTCCTTCCGCGGAACCAGATTGATCACGGCCCGGAATCACTACCGCGGGACTGGGCGGTATGTTTGTATGTCAGACTGGGCGGTCGGGGTGACGCTTGTCTGTGATGCGGATGCGGGGGGTTACTCTGGCGCGGAGCCACGATGATGATTGAACTTGGAGCAAGCTATATCACATTGCATGAAGCCGTGAACAACAAGTTGTCAGGAAAAGAAAATGTGGGTAGTTGTCGTCAAGTTGGGAAGGAGAATCCTAGCAACGGTCAACAATCAACCGAAGATCAAGCGGCCAAAAGGGGGCGCCGTCGATAGCGGCGACGTTGGAGCGGTTGGGATAGATTAACCAACCAACCAAAAAGGAATTTCAAGTCTAAACTCAAAGAAGGGGAAAATGCTACGTAATGAGATGGCTTTTTTTGACGTTCCAGGCCGCCGGCAGATATGTAGCTGGTCTTGACTATCTCGTCCTACCTACTTCAGACCTTCGGGTGCATCGCATTGTCCAATCTATCGAATTTCGATGTGATGGAAAGGGTCGAGGACGGGAACACACACTGAACTTAAGCGTCAACTGTCCGCTTGCCACAGTCTGCAAGAACCCCAAATCTCCAGTATTCCTTCCCAAAAGAGTACGTAGCTTCCTGGACCCCATAAACGGCAAAACAAATTCAAGCTTTTCAGGATCCAAGCAAAATCGGCAACGTTTTCTGCAGCAGCAAGTGTGAAAAAAGAAAAAGCGGAAGCTGACGAGGAAGGAATGTACCCCACACACCACCCCGCGGTCCAGGTCTTGGCGACACACGGGGAGTGCCTCGTTCCCCTCCTGGACCCGAAGTTGAGCCGTTACGGCCCGTGTAGCCCGTTGGAATGCCGCTGTGTAGGTAAGTATCGTCCGCCGCTTTTTGTTTGACACCCACTCTCGCCTTTTCTTTGCTCGAGACTGGTGGGACCTTTCATCTTCGTCAGCGTCACAAAGAAAAAGGTCTTTCACACCTTTGTAGCAAGCTTCTCCATATTCCATTCCGCACATCTCCGCCCGCGCAGGCGGAGTTCGTACGGATGACGACGTATGCCGCCGGATGGGGAATTGTTCATTCGTCGAAGGACTCCATGGGGAGTGTGGTTTTGCCGAAGTTTTAGCGAAGGCGAGCTGACGAGAAAGTTCGGTCGGTTGGTAAGGTCAGCTAAGGTAGCAAAGACGCCTCTCTTGGTTGATGTCAAATTGGAGCGAATGGACAGGTTCATTCAAGATCGTTGAGATTCGCGAGTCTCGCCAGCACCTGCGCTTTGTGAGAACTTTTTCGGTCGGTTTCCAGTCCTTCGTTCCGAAGGAGGTGACACCTTCCCAAGTTGCACGCTGAGAACTGCGACGAAAGGAACACATGCCCAATCGACGTCTTCGATTTCATTGAATCCCTAGAGGTAGTGAGTGTTTCCTTTCTTCGTTCAAACTTCAGCCGTTCAATCCTACAATCCAAGCAATCATTGTCGCTACTTGTTGAATCGAGGTGTTACCGAGATAGTCAGGTCATGCCTGCCAACCGTCCTCAGATTCACGGGTACTTGAACAGAGCACAGAAACTCCAGTTCGGGGGTCAATGTTCCCTTCCACTCCACCGTCATACGCAATCACATTCCATACCCAACCCGGCATCCAAAAATATGTCGCTCGTATCAAGGGATACCCTTCTCGAATTTCTATTTCCATTGCACACGGTTAATGTAGTGTACATCATCGGATCTTTCTCTGTCAGACTCGTCACTGATTGACGGTCGTGCGACCCAGCGGTCAAAAAGAGACACATCGATCGTATCGCGATCCCTTCCTCCAGAGGATAGAGGGTTCAGGGTGAATGTACCTCTAGCCACACTCCCTCAGCTCAGCCCAGCGATCCTGTCACTGCCCCTTGCAAGTGACTCAGGTGGCCTCGGTGGCGTGGATGGCTGACTATCGCAATCTTCTGTTTTCTTTTCCCTCACAACAGTAGCATTCAATGACAAAGTACGCGTGTTGCTTCTGCTCGTATTGCTGCTGCAGCTTCAATGTGGTGATCATCCACGATCCGGATAACATCATCCCGTCGAACCACTGACAGGCCAGTTGCCATCTAATCCAAACCCTCCACGCCCATACAACGTTGACGGGACCGGATCACCATCATGGCACTGCAGATCCAATATGGCTGCTGACCTGCAGCTAGAATACTATAATGTATTCTGCCGCCATTCAGACACCTTTGAAGGAGTGTCGTTGTGAGCAAAACTTGGTGATATGGTGGATCAGAGACAGCTACGGGTACGCCTAGCTGTGCCTCGAGTATACATGGCAAAAAAGGGTCCACCAAGATGCACAAGATGTCTTGACAGCCTCAAGATCCGTCACAAGTCACAAGCTGTGTCTTGCAAAGGCATTCCTTCTCAGGCCGCGCAATGTTGCAACCTCGGTTCTGGAACTATCCCTCGAGTCTCCTATTTTCTTGCGTCAAATCTCAGAGCAAAGACGTCAAAAAATGCAATGGCAACAAACCGTTTCAAAACTCGAAACAGTCCGTCGAATCAAGCCACGCAAGGCCAGGCGGACAGGGGGTCGCTGGGGTTCTTAACGTTGCCCTTTGTGAGAGCAGTTAGCCGAGGGCATCGTCGCATCTCCCTTAGCATCCTCTCTGTCCAATCATTTTTCATGGCTGTGGTTGCTTGCAATCGGAGGAGGGCCACTGGGGATCGCCTGCGCATCCTTGTTGAAGCATCCCACACCCCCCAGTCAACCTAGAATCTTCCCCAATCGAACGACTGGACACACGCGGCCTGCATTGAGCTGGCTGATATTGCAACCACTTGAGACCATTGAAGTGAAGGGGCTTCGCATTGCCCGCTGCCCTCACACCCCCCTGCCCTCTCTTATGCGGCTGGCTGCATTACGCCGGTTCCCTTCCACACACACCACTCCCACCACGGGGTTCCCTTCCGCTCCAGCCCACCCATCCAGCATCCAGTCGAAGTTTCTTTTTTTGTCAATCTGGACGCCGGAGAAACATTGGACGCCATGGCGTTTGGATTCCCGAGATTAGACTGTATGCGGCCTCCTTGATACGGGGATCGATCCTTGTAATCATCTGAGTGAGCATGTGCGGTCCAGACAGAGTCCAGAACGGTTACAGATGACTGGGCAAACCTTTTTGGCGTTGCTTCCTTCGTTCGTATTAAAAGACGGGCTGCGTGCCGCTTGAAGGTGAAGTTCTGTTTTTCTCTCCTTCTTGGATATCTCGCTTCTTTTTTTTTTTTGGTCTTACCAACACACACTCGTTCAAACCACACGATTTCGATTCGGTAATCACATAACGATTCCACACGTCTCGTTCAACCACCAGACAAACATATAATCACAACGTCAATATATAAAGCCGAAAACAACAGTCAGCCAAGCTACTCAACACAAAACAAAACCACACAAACAACCCAAACAAACAGCAAAAATGCAGTTCAAGACCCTCATCGTCTCCACCCTCGCCGGCCTCGCCGCTGCCCAAAACACCGTCCCTCTCTCTACCGCCCCCGTCGGTCTTTCCACCGGTGTCGTTCCTCTGCCCACCGGCACTGGAGGCGTGATCTCCACCAAGCCCGGCGGCATCTACTCCAACAGCACCTTTATCAGCAAGCCCGCGGCGAGCACTGAGGAGACCACTGCTACCGTCACCTCCAAGGTTGGTGCTGGTGCTTCATCCACCGGCGCTGCTCCTTCGGCTAGCACATCTGGTAACACCAATGGGGCCAACCTGGATCGCAAGAGCGAGTTTGGCATGGTGGTCATCGGGTTGGTTGTTGCTGCTGGGTTTGCCATTTAAACAAACCTCTTGCATGCATGATCATAATGGGATGAAGGGAGATGATGGGTGATAATAATGGTTCTTTGGGCTGTGTATACCCAGGACGGGGACTGCCTGTCTTTTGGTTGGCAGCGATGACACACTCGAGTTGGGATCTATACCCCCCGCTGCATGACGACCAACTCGAATGACCAGATGGATGATATGAGACGGACGGACGGACAAATGGATGGTTTTAATCGGAAATATCCACACCGGAAACCAAAAGGCGTTAATTACTTCACTTCTTGGGCATTCATGAGATGAATGGATGGATGGATGGACGAGGCCATTGGGCTTTTGATGGTCTCGTCTTGTTTTGGGTCTTCTTTTTTCTCCACCTTTTGCATGAGCCTTACTTATGTGGGCTCGGTTTACAAACACTATTTAACTTCTTCATCATCTTCTGCATATACAGCTAGACACATTATAACTTGAATCTTACTTGGGCCTGCCGTTGGCGGCCCGGTTTTTTGGGACATCTTCTACAGCCTCACTACGGTATTTTCGCTTGGTGGCTTTTTGATTCGCATGGTCTTCCCTTCCTTTGGATTTCCAGTACCTGACGTGTGTTTTTATGGTTCATTTTTCCTGGTCTCGATAGTCGGTCACGATGGGTGTCACAAAGCTGGCGCAAAACCCGAGCCCGTTCACAAATCTGGTTAGTCCGTCTACACTGCATACGCGTACCTTGACGCTACGCGCCGGTGCAAGCGGGCTGTGATGTGATGGGGCGTTTCATTCTCAGCCTCAAATAGCCCCGAAAATGCGCGGAATATTGGACATAAGTGATTATCATGATTATCAGCGTTTCCAACATCTGTTTTCCGATAAAGGTATGCATGGCGAAAATCGCTATTCCACGGGTTAACGTGTCAGCCTCAGACTCTCTTGTTCGGCTTTTTTTTCTTCGATTTCAACGAGGGGGTATCATATGATTTGCTCCCACGTACTGTACTGGTGTGGTGTAGAGGTACCTATTCTGGCGCTACGATAAGTGAACACGCGAACTTCGGCGAACAGCCGGGTAGAGGTTAACTTGAGGGAGTAACGCAATTGCGTTTGTTTCCATAAGACATGATGGGAAGAAATATGGCCAACATACACCATCATTCTGTAAGGATTTCGTGAACATAGTTATTCCAAGTTAAAGGCGTCCAATTGCTGAAAAGAAATGAGGACTACACGTCTAGAGTGTCCTCGTCGTGTTGCATGTCCCTCAATCGCTTGTTGTTATGTGGGGGGTGTCTGTTGAAGTGGGGATTATAGGTACTGGAGCTGAGGCTTTGAGATATCAACTGGAAACGGTTGTATAGTGTAGCGGTTATCACTCCGGATTCTGAATCTCATCAGAACATTCCGGCAACCCCGGTTCGATTCCGGGTACGACCTCATCTTTTGCTTTTTCTTGCTCTGCACTTTCTCTTGATGATGCTTTATTTTTTTATCCGTGCCCTTTGTCTTTTTTTGTTCTGGTTTTTTATACTTCGAGGTCCTTAAAAATCAAATTGTTATTGTGTGCTTGGTTTCTTCCTTTGTTTCTCTTGCTTCCATGTTGGTTGGTATTAATTCCTTGGTCAAATTGAAGTTCGTGTCAAAGCCATTTTATTTTTTGCAACAAGCCGATACGTACCGCGTGCAAAAAACGTTCATACCCAAATGAAATCTCCGACACCTTGTCGGTTGATCACACCCCAAATTGGAGGAGAGAGGCGATATGTGAAGATGCGCAGGATCCGATCAAGCGTACCTGCATGAACATGATCACTTGAACGGGTTCACAGAAGCCAAACGGTCGGGTTCCGTGCCTGGTGGTCGATCTCCCGCTTAAAGCTTCCGAGTCCCCCACCAGCGAGACCACTGGGGAATGTTCCACTTCAGACAACCGATATGGACAACATTTGTTAATTTCAATATATGTATAGCAGTGCGAGAATCGATCCTTCGCATGACTGCCATGCTGGTACCTACCTCTGCACCGAACAGTACTGTTAGGCTCAAGACCAAGTAAGGTAAGTAGAGGAGAATGATAGAAGCGCGTAATGACATCACCACGCCCACTGACGATGTTGTGAGCCCGTGGTCGATTTTGGGGATGCGTTCATTCTTCAGTTTGAGCAGTCTCTCTTCCCCGAAATGTTTCCAACGGTGATCTTGTACAAGGCGGCGACCGACGCGCGCGTGAGCGGTTATGCGGGGAGATTCAGATGAGCGACCATGTCATGGCATGGCATCGCTTGCATCCCGCCAGTTCGCCTCCAACAAGGATTGACCAAGAGCGCCCACGAGGGCGGACAGTAGAACGTTCAGCTAGCGCGCACTGGTTTGTCGCGAAGTGCAAGTTGAGGACGACTTGCTATTTTGAAAATGATGAAGCGTCCATTATAAGCGCTTAGACAGGCGTGTATGTTGTGTCGTAGTTACTGTGTCGGCGATATATTCTTCACAAGGAAGAGTCAAACATACAATCGCCCAGATTGTGTCGCATAGAACGCTTGCTCTATCTAATCTCGACCCTTGGCCAAAATAACAACGGTGCATAGAAGAGACAGAAAACGAAACAGAACACGGGTGACAGCGCGTTCGAATCGCGGTTATTGGCATGGAAGAGATCTCGAACTTTTCCCCAAGTGACATGGTCTCACCGTCTTGTCCGTGGGTAACAACTCAAACTGTCTCGGGGGTTTCGTTCCGGAAATTACAGGGTCAGTGACTGACAGGATCTCGGCTTCATCAACCGAACCGTAGCACCCCGGGTTTATCGGTATCGCCGTCAGAAATCTGCCACAAATAGATCAAATCCCATCCAGCCATGCACTATAAACAAAGGGTATTACGTGTATGCGGTTGGCAGAAAAATCGCCCATTGGCCGTGGAGAAACGGGAGACATCAAGAAGGACCTGGATCACGTGTATGATCATTGGTGCCAAGGCCAACAGCGCATGCTGGTGTTAGTGGTCTGTTAGTGCCAAGCAGCTAGGTCCCCTACAAGGCCAGAGCTGCACGCTACCACGCTGGGATTCTGGGGAGGTCAATTGAACTGAGGCTGTCTTTTAGCGGCTATGCTAAGGATACAGCGTAGGTCAGCGAAGGATCCGCGGGCCTCAAGTAGGTAGAGTTTTACCACCATGTCAGGGCATGCCTGGCCCGTGCTTCAGGTCCCCTTGATTCTTCCAGACCGTCTTACAACTTTACCAAGGAGCCAGGCAGACGACAAGACCCAAAACCAGGCCAGATGTCTGAAGTTACCGCAATTTGGCACAGGTTCGGCTTCGGCATGAGCGAAAGCTTAGCTCAGCGGTGTTATTGATATTCAGGGCAGTCAGTTGGCGGTTCTGAGGATTTCCTTCCTCTGGTCGTTTTGCCTGCGACAACCTGAAATGTAAAAGGCGGAACCTGGGTCTGGCCGTCTTTGCATTTGAGGTGGACATTCCAATGACGCCTTGTATTGTATTGCATGTGTCTGGATTTATTTGTTCTTTCTTCTATGCTGGCGAATGTTTCCAAATCTCTTCTTTTTGCTTAAATAGACAAGGCAGCTTCTTTCTGTTGGTGCGGTGGTTTCATGGTGGTCGTGCAACACCGCCCAGCAAGAGGGACATTCACTTGCTGTCACGAAATCACCTCAGACCGAACCGGAAGCAAGCCACCTCTCAACTTCAGAGCTCTTGACCTTCCCCGCCAATCCACGTCGCTTTCCACTCAAAACTCGCCCAGGATCTTGGGTCCCGCCCGCCAAAATTCCCGTTGACAAGCTTCTTTCTTTCTTCCTTCGGCCCTGCTCCCCCACCGCCGCCGTTGATCGCTTTTCATACCGATCGCAGTCCTCCTTCCCCTGCTTTTCCTAATACAGCCAGGACCTAGCCTTGATCCCTTCCTTGTCTTCTGGTTGAGAGCCGCATGGTCGTGCCTCATCACCCCGCCATCGACGAGATACGGTCGAAGCTTTCTTACCACCAATACAAGCAGTACATGCCTACCTCTGCATTTTAGCGACGCCCCATTCAGCCCCCCTAATCCAACCAGACGACCTTTTAAGCCCGACCAAGCACGGCTTCGAAAATCCAATCGGGATTCGTACAGGACGTAGGTAGAGACTGAGGACGGACTTGGATGCACTCGTTGCGCGGCGTTCCGTTGTTCTATAACTTGACGAGACTCGCCCTTGCACCCTGGGCCGGGCGTTTACCTACAGTAGGTACCTACACCTAGCCTTCACCTTGCATTAATTACAGACCGGATACACGGTATTACGGTCTGCCGGTCTAGCCCACTCAGCTACCCCAGACGGACCTCCACGCGAAAGACGGGCACTCGGGCCTGTCCTGTCGATACTGGCGGCATTGCTGTGCTGTGCTGGTGCATCCAACTCAAGACTGATCCAGTCGGACGAGCACTCGTCATTCTGATTCGCCCAATTGGTGCAAACACCGACCGACCACAGAGCGTCCCCCTAGTAGCCTCCTGCCGCTCCCGCTGGCCGCACCCGCACCCGCGCACCGTACCATCTCCCGCCGCCCGCCGCACCCTCCTCTCACCACCGCCAAAAAGTTGTTTCCCCATCCCAACCGACACCTCTCCGACCCAAGAAGGTGCAACAACACTGCGAGACCAGTGACCCTCACTGGGACCCCGACCGCAGGCAGCATGGAGAACCGACCGGCTTCCGCGAAGCCCGCGACCACAGCCTCGACCCCCTCGCAGTCGTCGACGCCCGACGTCAAGTCCCCCGCGACCCGTCCCCTCTACAGCAGCAAGCTCGGCGACCAGCGAGCAAGGACATCAGACGCGGTGCCGGCCACTTTGGCCAGCCAGCAGAACAGGTGAGACGCCATCTACCGCACCCTTCCTGCCCCTTCAAACACCGTCTTTGCCCTTCTTCCGCCTTGCCCGTCTCTTTACTGCGGCAGCCGCACACCGATCCAGCAACAAAGCCACACCTTAAACCCGACCCCCCGTCATCACGCCTGCCCGTCCTCCCATCCTGTCAGACCCCTTAGACCTTGGGTCCACCTCCAGATCGACTTCCATTGTAGTCGCGGAGTCATCGTCTTCACTCCCTCAATTCCCATCCTTTCCTCAGTCCCATTGCCATGCTCTTGCCCGCTTGACGAACATCCAATCCTTCGGCGCCGTAACTCCAGACTGACATCCGCACAGACAGTCTGCCCCTCCTGTCCAGCAAAAGGCCTGGACTTCGGCCAAGAACCCCATCACCGGCCAGTCCGCCAGACCGCAGAACAACTTCAGCTCACAGGACAAGAAATCCGTGACCAGCTCCCTTCGCGAGGTTCGTTGATGCGCCTTGTTTGCTCGTTGTTTTTGTTCCCCTTTTTCGAGACCCCATGTTATCCATGACATAGCTCCTTGGCGGACCTTACTACTACTTACTCCCTTAGCTGCTCCACTATTGGCCGCCGTCCACCACGGCAATGCTACATGGACTGTCCGCCTGTCTTATACTGGTCGCCTTTGTACACAGTCTGACGCTTACTTCAATCATCTCCAGGGCCAACGAGTACGCATTACCCTCGCTAACGGCTCCGAGTTCGAGGGTACTTATGCCAACACCCAAGACCCCAACACCTGCCGCCTGACTACGGTAACGCAGAAGAAGCTGCCCAACTCGGCCGAAATGAACGGAGCTTCTAGAAAGGAGCAAGGAACCATGACGTTCCAGAAGAAGGAGATCGTTGACGCGCGTCCTCTCCTGGTCAACAACCTTGGCAAATCAGACGGCAAGCCTACCAACGGTATGGACAAACCGGCTGCGTTATTCCGCTTGCTTGTTCGTTCTAACATGGCTATTCCATAGGCAACCGCGCGTCCTTCCGTACTGACGCTGCCATCTCCAACTCTCGCTTCGGAAACGAGCGGACTCTGCACCGCTGGGTGCCCGATTCTACCGACGGGCTTGATGATAGCTTGGAGAAGACCAACACTTCTGGTACCTGGGATCAGTTTGCTGCGAATGAGCGCCTCTTCGGTCTCAAGACCGATTATGATGAGAACATCTATACCACGACGATCGACAAGAGTCACCCTCAGTACAAGGAGCGGATGGCCGCTGCGGAACGTAAGGCACGCGAGATTGAGCGAAGCGCCCCGGTCACCGCACATGTTGCCGAGGAGCGTGTCATGGACTTCCAGGGCGGAGACGATCGTGACGAGGAGGACAAGTAAGTCACAGGTCTCAAGAGAATCAGGCATTAGGGCCGGCTAACGAAAGGAAACAGGTACAGCGGTGTTCGAAGACAAGACTTCCCTCCCCTGTCTGGTGGCCGAGAGAACAAGTACACGCCTCCTGCTCGGCGTGCTCCGGCTGCGCACTCTACCGTCAAGGGTGCTCCTGTAGACCCGGCTATCATCTCGTCTCAGCTGAAGGCACCCCCGCAGAAGCAAGCTGCGCAGACTGTGGCTGATGTCAAGAGCCCCGTCCAGCAGACGAAGCCATCGCCCGCACCTACCAGCACCACCGCGGACTCAAAGGTCGAGTCTAAGCCGGACGTGAAGGTAGCGGAAGTCAAGGCTGTTAACGCAAAGGCTACCGATAAGAGCGCGGCTCCGGCTCAGGCCGCGGTTAGTACTACAGCGACTGCACAGACCCTTAGCAGCAAGCAGCAGGGAATTGAGCAAAGACTTCTAACTTCGTTCAAGGAATTCGCGAACATTCAACGCGGCAGTGCCTTGTCTGCCCAGAGGGCCAAGAACAAGGCAGACAAGGAGGTCAGATTGAATGACCTCAGAAAGTTCTATCACGAATTCAAGCTCTCAACCCCGGTGCCATCTGACCTTATTTCTATCATTGCCAAGGACCCAGCAAAGCAGAAGGAGATCCAGGAGAAGGCGCTGAAGAACGCACAGGAGATGGCCAGGATCAAGGCTGAGCAGGCTGCTCTCAAGGCGAAGGAGGCCAATGCCGCCAAGGAGGGTGCGAGCAAGACCACTACCGAGCAGACCAGCTCGGCAACTACTACTACGGCCGATACCCGTACCGCGTCGCGGCCGACTGCCCCTCAGCACTCTAGTTCAGCTGGTGGTGTTCCGAGCCGCCACCAGGGTCAGCGCAACTCTTACCAGCATCCTCAGGCGGCTTATCACCAGCCTTACACCCGCGGGAACCGCCCGCCTCCCCATATGTCCCAAAGCCAGCAGACGGGCAACCTATCTCAGCGCCTACGGAACGTGGAGCAGCACAAGATGCAGCATCCCCATATGGGACAGCATCCTCAGGGCCCTGACATGCGTCTTGCCCCCACTGGCCCTGCTAACAACGGAGACCCTTCCTTTGCTCGTCGCACCAGTGGTGTTCCACCGCCCACTAAGCAATTCAACCCTCTGATCCACGAGTTCAGACCTGGTGCCACCCCTTTCGCCCCTGCCTTCAGCCCCGCTGGACCGAGCCAAGCGTCAAGCCCCCGCGTGTCGGTTAACAACGTTGTCGTCGAGCCTGCGGGCGCTTCGGCTCTGCCTCCTGGAAAGCTGATCAGACGTAAGACCAAGGATGTAGACCCCAAGAAGTGCAATATCTTGGCCTTCTTGGAGAAGGAAGAGAAGCCTTCCATGCAATCTCATGCCGTGAGATGGGAGGAGAACGGTGCCCTCCGTCCGGCCTACGAGACCCCGCCGACGTGGCGCCAGGCGGATCCTCAGAACGAAAAGGCTGATTCTACCATGAACATGACCTACACGGAATACATGGAGAGATACCCGGTTCCGAGCACCGTCAACGCCACGCCCAACCCGTCTCATGCACTTCCCCAGTTTCACCATCAGCACCAGTTGCCTATCCACATGCAGCACGGCGCGCAGAATCTTGCCCCGAGGCAGTCGCCTCACATGCCTCCTATGCCCATGCAGCCTGGCCAGCATGGACATGCCCCTCATGTCCCTTTTACAGCTCCTGACGACCACAGGATGATGCATTCAAACTCCCAACAGTCGTTTGCATCCCCTAGAATGGGACATGCGGCTATGGTCTATCCCCAGGGCACTCCTGGTCAGTTCCAGTACAGCCAGCCGATGATGCAGCCCTACATGCCTGGCGGTGCGCCCCAGATGGGACCATTCCGCAGCTTCTCGAACAACCCCCAGTTCATGCCCCAGCAGCAGCATCACATGGGCGGTCCCGTTATGATGCAACCGCAGTTCATCCCGGGGCCAAATGGCGCCTTGATGGCGGCTGGTCCTCAGGTCCAGATGTATCCTGGACATCCACAGTTTATCCCCGCGGGTGGTGTACCCCCTCAGCCCATGAACGGGACGAACGGTTATCCTAGCCCCGGACGCCCAGCGGCACCCATGATGGTGCACCAGGGCTCGCAGCAAGGACAGCCGGGTGTTTATGGAATGAGCCCTGCTGTTCAATATCAGCAGCCTGCTTTTGTGGCTCAGCAACAGCCTCAGGGCAAGTTCCCTAACCAGCGGGCTCAATGAGGGCGCGCTGGCCGCCAGCATGTCACGTCAACTGGGTGACTGCAGTGGGATCGCTGATGGCCACTGCCTTGTTGAATTATGAACTGCTCCTTCGGGCTTGGCAGGAATGGGGGTGTTATGTCGGGCTTGATAAGAGGATGAAGTCACCAAACCAGCCATTCAAGTCGAGCCAGGTTGGTTGGCCAACCTTCTGTGAGCAAGCAGAACGATGCAAGGTGATGAATAGCGTCGCCTTGTTGAACAGTGGCTCGAGAGATGCAACTCCGCAGGGTGAGTGGCAGGCATGAGAAGAGATTAACAACCCAACTACCAGAAAGGCAGTGTACGACAACTACCACCACGATTATAATGCCTTTGCTTGCCTTTCATTAAGCTACTGGAAGAAGCTCACCTGAGAGCGAACCATCAATAATCTCTTCTAAAGCCATTTGCATAGTCCTTCCTTCACTTGAAAGTGTGCTTTACACATCGACCTTCGGCCACGCCGTCTTACCATGCCACACACACTTCTATGAATTACTGTTGGACTTGGTCTTCTTACTCCATGCCAAGCTATATGTTCTTGCTCGAGAGTGTAGCGGAGTCAAGTTCACACCACAATTGGCTATCCACATCTATTCAATCAAGCAGCTTTCAGGGAACGGATGGAGTACCAGGGGAGGTGATGGACGGGTGGTCATGAGAGACGAAGAATAACGAGACCCAAAACGTCAGCAAACGGCTGGCTGTGACCCTCGCTGCTGATGAAACCCATCAATACCGGGGTAATACGTTCATGAACAAGGAAGGATACGAGTACAGTTTGTCTGCTGCTCTGGGGGCAAGTGGACAGATAGGCCGACATCGATGAAGTGTTGTAGGGGAATTGCAGAGCAGGATATTTTATGTTATTGGAGATGCGAGAGTGATGACTCGCAGAGGATGAAGGAGATACGTCTGGTATCAAAGTACTGCCAGGCATACAGCACACTATGGCGTAGCATATAGCAAGCAAGCGAATAAGCACGCTTTGGAGGGTGGAAGGAAGCGGGGTGGTAAAGAGAGAACGGGAAGAAGAGGGGGAGGGGGGTTAGTGCTACATAGCTAGCATAGCAACAATGAAGCGAGTAAGGTTATCTTGATGGGAATTTATGTGAAGTGAGGCCACGGCATGATGAAAGCGACACGGTCAAGATGCGAGCGAAGAAGCAGTGGTGCTGAGCTTGGCTGATTCTCTTTATAGCAGGAAGAGCGTCACGAGACATTGTGTCAAGATATGTAATGTAAGACGAGGACGGACAACGCAAGACAGCACATACAATTTGGATTTACTACCGAACCTCATTTCATTATATGCTCTTCGCGAGCCTAAACGTACGCACTACTCAAGCGGGCAACATATGCTGACGTTGACAGCTAGCTGCTAGTTTCCGTCCGCCTAGGACAAACATGAGGAGAGGAGAGAGGATGTATGCTACCAGAACATTGTAACCTCCGTGATGGAAACTACTCGGTAAACCGTAGATCATGGGTGTTATGTTGGAATGTTTTTTCTTCTTCCTTTTTTTTTATCTTTTCTTTTTCTTCAATCGTGGTATCCACGGCGGTGGTGATGGTGACAAGTTAGGTACATGCTGCTTGCTATCGTTTGCTCAAGTTGCATGATTGCTTTTAGGTAGGTATATAGCCTTGGGAAAACCAGGATCCTTTTTTCTGCTACTGGCTAGGTAGGTGCCTAGGTACTCACATTTTACATACCCCTTTTGTTAGTGTAGATAGTTGTGCTTGCTTTGTTTTAGGGGAGGGAGGGAAAAAGCAAGGAACCGAGCGAGGTCTACAAAGAAGCAATCACCACCAAACCAAGGCCAGCCATACATATGGAGTCGCTCGTGAGGAGTGAGCGAGTGGGTGGTCAAAATGTGAAGTTTGCTTTTGTTCCCCAGATTCGGTCAATGGCATTGTTTTATGTAGGTGTGTTTGGCAGTTTTCATTTTTTTATGTTTATGCATAACAGGACTGACTGTCCTTGAAGTCTTGCGGAGAAACATACCTAGAAAAGGTGACAAATCTACCTATCTGCCGTTGTGGTGTTTCGCTTTTTCACACCCTGAAGCCATACACACACTTTGTGATCCTGATGCGATGCGAGTCACTACTGCCTTTTATATGCAGCTTGATATCTTTGAGGCGTCGAGGGAAGAGTGAGTGAGAGAGTGAGTGCATGATTTGAAACGTGGAGTTTTTTTAGGTTTTTTTTTTTTTTTTTTTTTTTTTTTTTCGATTTTGTAAGTGAGATGAGAGGTATGATTCGAGATGAGTTCCTTACTAGGAAAAGATAATTGGTCGTTTGTCGTGAAGCTCGTGCTAATAAACGAGTAGAGGTACTTCCAGGAATTGACGTGTGCAAGGTAGAGGGTACTAGAAATAACTCGTAGTTTACCTACGGTAGGAAGGAAAAGCGGGCGGGAGGTTGAATGAAGGGATTACTTGTGGTGTTCGAGGGGCCCAAGATGATGAGCACTTGGGCATATCATATATCTTCGAGTAAGCATGTTGTTGTAATTACTGCGTGGCTGTTTGGGAGTGAAGGCTGCCTGCGAGCGGCGGAGTTGGAGGTTGTAGGGGATGATGATAACGGAGAAATGTCAACGTCCACCCACAACTAGGACATTGTCATTTCTTTACACATATACCAAAGCCGCAATCCGTATATTGATTACTGCGGCAGCTCCAAGGTAATGAGTACTGATATCTTCGATGTTAGCTTTACGCCTCACCCTCGTCGAGCCCGACGAAACTTAGACTCGCCACAGACTATTCCGACACACGGCACCAAACAAGAATCACTACTCCTCGATATCAAATACGTATGCCACCTCAACAGTGGAAAATGGGTAATGACATAAGTCTGCCTAGCCAACAAATCATCTGAAGGGTGTCACAAAAACGGGCGGGAATCCCAGTGCCACACCATCGGGCGCAGAGGACTTCTAAGCATTTCGTACTCGAGGGTCTAGACGCCCGTGACACATTAGTAGCGACATGATACTTGACGTTTGAAAGAGGAGAACAAGTAGAAAGAAGACTTTGCCCATTGATCACCATTGTCCTTCTTTCTCAACGTAGGCCACGGGGCGGGTGTCACGGGCTCACAGGGGGGAGACGAATGGATAACTGAACACTGCATTGCCGTGCGAGTATGCGTCCGATCGAGGGTTTACTTGGGAAAGGGTCTTTCGTGGACCGAGAAACAAGAAAGAGAGATCTGATCGATTCGATGCTTTGATCTTCCCCCGCGTTACCATGTTACATATCTAGGTCAGCTCCCAGGTAATGTAGGTAAGGCATCTAGTGTAAGCACATCTGACCTGAGTAACTGAGTGACGATGCGATGAGTGGGTATCACAACATATCTGGCAGGCTACTCACTTGACCAGTTGACCAGAGGCAGTTGATGCTATGTACAAAAAATGGATGGATGACTTGCATGAGTTGGTAGCAAGTAGCAAGTATGTAATGGCCTCTTTGGTGTGGTAAGACGGGAATGGTCTGTTGTGAATCGTTGACATAGCTTTGTCGATGGTACGCCATCCCGTACCAATGCTGCTGCAGTTCAAAGTACGTGCAGGTAGTGAATTCTATTCTTGGGACGCCGAGCTCAAGAATCTAGGTATGCTGTTGATTCCCGGTGTCAACGAAGCAAGCAATGTCAGCTTATCGTCGTAGACAGCACTGGCTGGATGGATGTATATCGAGCCAGCATTCCGTCATTCCAGTTTGATTCCATAGATGCGCGATCCAGATTTGGAATCTGGGAGGGCCGTTGCACAATCTACATAGCGCCTTTTCCATTACTGAGAGACCACACTCCCCTTCAATCATCCAATGGAATATTCTCTGCAAGTCTTAATTCACCTTTTGAAACACGCGCGCGAGGCCGCCAGTGGTAGGTACCGCTCTAGTTGACCTTGCATTGCCGGCCAAGGCTGGGGTCGCCCTCTTCAATTTTGCGAGTTTCGTGAAGGCTTGCGCGTCTCGCAAGATCGAATGTGGCTTAGTAGTGAGTGTCGGAAAGCTAGGGAGAGCTTGACTTGAGCTTGAGCTTTAGCGCAGTACTTGAAGATCAGAATCAAGCACTGACCTCGGCGTGCAACTTTCATCGTTCAATTTCGGTTGTAAACATGTGTTGCTCGTGTGTCTGTGTGTACATATGTGCCCCAGGGGTTGGGCAGGGGATCCCGTTTGGGAAGGAGGGGGGATGAAGTTGTGGTGCACTTGGTAACATGGAAGCACGGGCAGTGTCTCCTGAGTTGTGAATGCAGTGTGTAGGACAGAAAAGGGAATCCTTCCCGTCGTTGTAATGGTCGTCGTGGTACATGTCGAGGATTGATGGGCGTTTTACAGGCGCTAGTTTTGCCCTACCCACAATCATCGTGGGTTCGATGCGCTGGTGAAGTGTCACCAGCTGCTGTGCTGTGGTATAGCACTTGAACGAGGAATGTACATAGTAGAGAGGTAAAGGGCTGGCCGGCCTCCCTCAGTCATCTAGATGGTGGCGTTCGTCCCTTGCTGTTATGAAGTCTTTGAAGGCTCCATTCCGATGAAAAGGATCACACATGCCCTCTTTGTGCACTTGTTCATTGCTTCTTCTCCGCGTGGGGCCCCCCCCGTTTCATTGTCGTATCCTCTCCACCTTTTGATATGATAACAAAGGATAGAGTTAGGGTGGCCCGAAGACATGAAACCGAAAACCTGGGGTAGGGAACTCCTGAATCGGTGGAGGACAAGAGGAGCTGAATACTGAAAGCCAGGGGCTACAGTAGAGGTACCTTTGTAACTCTCGACTCCATCCAGAGTGGTGGCCTCAGCTAGCGGCTGAATGCGCCTCACACAGCCACCCTCTGCAATCATGGCATTGATTGGGACTACGATTGGTTTTGTCTCCCCTGTTTGTGTCACGTCGCATACAGCGACTTTTTGTTGTCTCTCTTTCTTTCTGTCCGTTTGCTTGGGAAAAAAAGAAGGAAGCAGATTTTGCGATTGCGTACACTATTCTATACGGTTGGGCGGTAACTGACCAAGGGGAGTGCTACCTATCTTGTTGGACACGCCGCTTGCCGCGGCAGCCATGAGTTGTCCTGCCATGTCTGGTGGATGAATGATACTATACACTACTGTAATCCGCTACATATGATGGAATACGGGCGTAGTGTAGTAACAACCGACGTCTCTCAGTGGATCGTCCGGCGATGAGCGATTGCTCCGCGGCTACATGCTTCAAAATCCGAGTGGTGGTCCGGTTGAAGTCTTTGATACTGGCTCCCGTTCGCCCAAGTCCGCCGTCGTCCGCTGTGGTGTGGTGTGGTGGTTCCTGCCGATCATCACCGGCGGCGTCTTCTGCCAAGTGACGGGATTTGCTTCTGGACCATGGCGTGCTAATCCACTTGCCGGACCTCCCATCCACTGAATACACTACAGAATGCTACAGAGTGAGGGATTAACACAGCCAGCCCGGGGATATGGATGTGAGAAGCGGACAGAGCGGGATGGCATGTCTTGGAAGGTCGTCGACTCACGGCGTGTAAAATCTCTGAACAGCGGTTCTGCTCCGAGGGTTTGGCCGTTTGGATGGGCAGGTGAAGCTCACCAATAGCGAGACCGGACGGGGGCTTCAACATGTCACTCTGCGGAGGCGTGGCAGTGGCACAGGCCTCTTTCATGCGTGCGAGTTTGTACCCTAGCGAGGAAAGGGGCGAGTGTTTCAGAACGAGAGGCTGCCATCCCTCCCTTTTAGCAGTGGAGTGCTCTGGGAGGCCCCTCGCTGTAAAAAGCGGCCCACGTGAAAATGCCAATCGGGCGGCTCCATACCAGCTGGCTCCACCGGCTGCCACTCTGGCTTGGCCAATCATGGACGATAGGGGACCGCCAGCTGGAGGTTGCATGCGTCAGCGTTTGGGACCATTGGTGCCTGGTACCCAAAAACCACAGCAGCGGGATTGGATCATTGAATGCACACTGCGTCTACACTACCACTGCCGCTGCTACTGCACCACTACCGCCGAGTTGTGCGCCTGTTTTTTCCACTTGCTTGCGCTTTGAGCGTTTGACAACAACGAGTGAATGACCAGTGGCAGCCCAAAGGATCCCGTCCTGATGGCAGTCACACTGGTGACCAAGGGCCACACCAATGGGGGACTGGACGTATGTATCAATGCCCTGTCTCATCAGTCTCATTGAGAGCGGCTCTACAACCAGAGAAGCAGTCTTCCATTCAAGTGATCGTCCTCCATCACGTCTTGCCAAATCCAATCCCACTTTTGTCCCATTACACATACACCGAGATCGCACAGATCGAACAAGCACTCGTTCACTGGTCGGGAGCGAGGACGGCAGTTCTACACGTACATAGTAGAGTAGTGTACGTACACAGTATCACCGCCCACTTCTTCCAAATTCGGCAAACCGCAAGTAGGAGAAATCCGCGAGACTTCCAGAAGCCAAACCCAAGAAGCAGCTTAGTGATCCAAAGTGGCCATGGCATCGCGAGAGCGAGCGAGGTGCTCCGGGATATCCAGCACGCAGACCACTCAGCGTCGTCAGACGGCACGGTACCTGCAGTGACAAGATCCCTAAGGTGGAGGGGTTGTGTGGAAAAAAACGCAGGGGGCTAGGGGTGTTCACAGGCTAGAGGTAGGTGGACAGGGAATGTAAACACACAAGATCCGCCGAGCGGGTGTGGTGTCCAGTGGGTGGCGTTCGAAACAAAAAAAGGTACCTGCATGGGTGCGCTACCGGCAACGGCCCCTCCCACCCAATCGACTCTAGACGAACCGGCAGCTGGGAAACATAAAAGTCATCCAACTCCCCCTCAACACCTCATCTCTGCTCTTGACGATCACGGCACTCCCTTACACGTCTTTCCTCTCTCTCTTCGACCTCAAGTCACCCACCCCGTCAAGGGATTTCAAAAACACCCTTCTCTGCATTCCAGTCCTGCTCGGCTCTTCAGCCATTGTCTCAGCGTATTCCTAGCCCGGTGCTTGACTACGACCTGACCTTTCGTCTTGACTCAGACGAGCCATTCACCCACCAACCTGATTAGCCACTCGACGGAACGGCACGACCTTATTCATTCCTTCCTATTGTTCACTTGCGTCAATAGCATAGAGCAGTGCTCATCTATCGACCCGGCAACAAGCAAACAACTCTCTCTCACAAAAACAACTTGTCGACAACAAGACTTTGACTTTACGGTCCACCACACTCCCTCAACAACGAGAAAGGAAAGAACAACTAGATCAACCATCAATCACCATGATGTACAACACCTTCACCACCGGTCTCGTGGCTACCCTGCTTGCAGGTGCCCAGATCGCCTCCGCCCACATCGAAATGTCGTATCCTCCCCCCTTCAGATCCAAGTTCAACCCCAACGCCGACCCCGGTAGCATCGACTACTCCATGACGGCTCCCCTCAAGGATACCGGTGCCGACTATCCTTGCAAGGGCTACCAGGTCGACTTTGGCACTCCTTCCGGCAAGAGCACCGCTACCTTTGTCCCTGGCCAGACCTACAACATGACCACTGCCGGCACTGCCACCCACGGCGGCGGTTCTTGCCAGCTCTCTCTCAGCTACGACAAGGGCGCTACCTTCACCGTCATCGAGTCCTACATTGGTGACTGCCCTCTTGCTGGCAAGTACGACTTCACCATCCCTGCCGATGCTCAGTCCGGCGACGCCATCTTTGCTTGGACCTGGCACAACAGAATCGGCAACCGCGAGATGTACATGAACTGTGCCCCCGTCACCATCGCTGCTAACAACAAGCGTGACGTTGCTGGTGCCGCCTTCTCCACTCGCCCTCAGATCTTTGTCGCCAACGTCGGTAACGGCTGCAAGACCGACGAGAACTTTGACGTCCAGTACCCCCAGCCCGGCCCTAATGTGGTGAAGGCTTCGGATGCTCCCCTCAAGGGCCCTGAGGGCAGCTGCGGTGCCTCTGCTGCTCCTGCTGGTGGCTCTGACTCTGGCTCTGGCTCTGGTTCTGGTTCTGGTTCTGGTTCTGGTTCTGGTTCTGGTTCTGGTTCTGGTTCTGGTTCTGGTTCTGGTTCTGGTTCTGGCAGCGGTACCTCCAGCTCCAGCTCTGTCGCTGCTGCTCCCGTCACCACCAGCGCTGCCGCTCAGACCAGCGCTGCTGCTGGTGGCAACCCCGGCGGTATCTTCATCACTGCTCCCTCGGATGGTTCTAACCAGGGCGGCATCTTCCTCCCCTCCGCCACCGACATCGTCAACGCCCCTAGCTCCAGCGCCGCCGCTGTCGTGAGCTCCGCCTCTGTCTCCGTTCCCGCCGTTGCCACCTCTGCTCCCGCCGTCGCTACCACCCAGGCTCCCGTTCAGACCACCCTCCAGAGCATCGCCAAGCCCAGCACCACCGTCGTCAGTGCTCCCGCTCCTATTGCGACCGGCACCGCTCCCGGCAATGGCACTGGCTCTGGTTCTGGCTCCGGCTCTACTGCTGGTGCCTACGCCGTTGGCACCGCCTGCACCACCGAGGGCGCCTGGAACTGCATCGGCGGCTCTTCTTTCCAGCGCTGCGCCAGCGGCGCCTGGTCTGCCGTCACGCAGATGGCTGCCGGCACTAGCTGCTCCGCCGGCGAGAGCGCCCAGCTCAAGATGATCGCCAAGAAGCACCTTGGTCGTTACCAGAGGCGTCATGGGTATGCTCACCTCTCCAACTAAGGAGTCAACATTGTAAAGGAGTGGACAGCACAGCGTCATATGATACCCCGCATGTAAAGCACCTATCTTCCGTTTGTTTTGTTTTTTCACCTTGAAATATTCAGGCTTTGGTCAGCTAGCTGGCTTTTTATTCGCTTTTGCCGATCTTTGATCGATTTCAAACTTCACTTCGCACATTCTTTTTTCACCGCAAGTTTATATAACCCGTGCTACACCTGGCAAGTTGTACTTGGATAGGTCGTACACTTTTTTCAAATCCCAACTTCTTTCTGAATATTTCAAGATCCAAAGACATCGAACGAACAAACAAACAACGGAGATTTGGGGCGTGTGTGCTGGCAGGGACAATAGAGCAGAGGAGGCAGTAGTTGGCTAAAGACAAGCAAAGACTGCATTTCATGACAAGGCGTTTACTTTTTCAAATTTCACGTTATGATGACAAAACTGGGAGGCACAGCTGGCTTGTTGATGACCATACAAGGAATACCAAGGGAGGAAAAAGGAACTCGGATAGGAATTTGGCTGGGCGGGACAAATGGATTCACTCGTTTCGCTGTACATAGACTAGGATTGGTAACAAAAAAGCATGCAATTACTGCATTCGTTCATATTATAAGAACCAAACTCTGTGCTGCTGCTCATTGGTGGATTTTAAGATTGAGCATCTTGAAGGAATGAAGGACTGGCTCCGAACAATTCATATGGGGGTTCGTTCGCCACGATGTCTGGTGCGAGGGATTGGCAAGGTCTAAATCCTTACACATCCTGACGAATGGATCACTAGGACTCACAAAGGCTGAATGAAGTCAACGCGGCCGAAATGAGCAAGGCAGGTCTCGAATCAAGAACTCACTCAAACAACAGTGCAATGGCGCCTTTCTCTGTCAGCCGAAAGCATTCGGCGAAAGAAGGTCGCTCCTCCCAGCGCGAGCTGGATCGAGCTCACCCTCATCGTCGATAATCAGGACGCGGACGTCGCCAGCTGGGAAAAGGAAGTGGTCGCCGAAGATGAGCACATCCTCAAGATCGCTTTCACTGCTGTCGCGTCCATCATCAACAAGCTGAATCTCCGCAATAGGCCGCACCACCTATCTCGCCGGCGTTTTTCTCGGGCCTTACACAAGCGGAAATCGCCGCCGAGATCCAACGCATAAGAAGGAACGAGAAACGAGCAGAGAAAATTGCCAAAGAAACCCCATATGAAAAGAAGAAGCGACAATTCGATCACAATAAGTGGAGGAGGGACAGCGACGCAACTGAAACCCCAGAAGCGTGCAAAGCAAGACTGGCAAAGCAGGCAGCGTGGGCGAGAGATCATCTTGCCAATGAAACTCTAGAGCACCGTGACGCCAGGCTAGAAACCATGAAGAAAAGGTATCGCGAGAGGGAAACTCCCGAAAAGCCGACCTGTTCCGTCAAATTGAGATACCACCTCTCTAGGGTCCTGGACTCATGTGCGTGGCCCATTATGAGCCGTGCGTGTTCTGTACCAGCTTCCCGAGTTATGTCGTTGGCCGCTTTTCTTCTAAATGAGTAGAAGGATATCGACTTGAAATATCCAAATTATTGACCCCTATTGGCGAAGTAATTGGACAACGCTTTTGAGGAAGAGGGTACAAAGTTTTTTTATAAGACTAGTGCCTTTAGGGAGTACGGCGACGAATATCGGTTGTCCAAGGCTGTTAGCCTTGATTAGTGTGGTTGATCATTCTCAAGTCTCCGGCAAAAAGCTCGTCTAAGGTTGTAATCCCCTAGAGAATCCCGCGTCGTAGAGCAATAACCAGGAGTCGGTGTAGGACAAAGAAAATAATTTTTCGATGTTGCTATGGAGATCGAAAGAGCAAAACATGCTTTCTGGCTATAGCTCCTCCTCCTCTCTTTCCCAACGTAGCGGAGTCGCAATGCAGGTTGGACTTCAAGCGCAAGGCCAGGTTGGCATATAACAAGGAGTATAAGAAGAACCGCCTTGACGATGAGACGCCAGATGAACGGGAGGCTACCTAGGCTAGTAAGGAAGAGGGAGATCGATAGGAAGCTTAGGATAACGAAACCCCGGAGCAACGCGCTGCAACAAATGCGAAAATAAATCAGCGCCACAAGGACAAGAAAGCGGCAGAAACGAAGGAATCTTCTCGGCTAGTGAGGTGTATGTTGAGAACAAGGACTTGGGGTAATGAGTGGCTGTCCGTCAACCGGGCGAATAAATAAACCTACCTACCCACCCGAGCCGGCGTTTATGATGCATTGTCCATACTATATTGCAATCGCCACTCCGTAGGGCGTTGCTTACCAGTGAGGTCGGCACAGGCAAAACCCTCATCTATGGCGTCGTCCTCTTAATAGAGTACCTACGACTGAAAAAGCTTGAGGAGAAGGGAGAGCCCTTCGAAGCCTTCCCCAGTATTATCGTCTTACCGTCTAGTCTAGCCGTGCAGACATTCAGTAAACTCCAAAACACTTTCAGCGACCTAGATTTACGGTGCTGGTACAAGATACCGAAAAGTGTCAATTCAGAGGACCCGCGGCATAGTAAAAGTCTCGTACAACAAACGTTCGACAACCTGATGAAGGATTCAGTTGTATACGCGAGCGCAACCGAGCATCGACCGCCCGGAAGGTTGTTATCGCGGCATATACTACGTTGACCAATAGATGGGCTGATAGAGAACACCGACATTGTCGAACTCCCGTGAGGGACACCGTCCCGCCATGCTGACGAACTTTGAAGAGACCTATCCGGTGATTGAGAAGCGATTGTGGAACTCGTCATCTGATGTTCTTAACCAAATCGCAATAAATTCCCATGATGTCTCATCAATATTCATCACGGCCCGTGCCCTAGTCACCCAATGACGGGTGTTAGACAGGATGGTTTTTACCTACCCCCGTACACACACCTCGGTGTGATCGCTGAACATAGTAAACATCACCGAACGCTAAGGGTGTCGGTGGCCAGCTAGCTGTACAGATCGAATTCGCCAATCGAAAAGCAAGGATGGGTTGATGAACTCGAAGCTGAAACTGAACCGTTCATGGGCATGGAGGAAGGTGTGATGAACTTGGTTCATGATTCTTCAAATTATTGGATTCATGAAAGCACCTGCCAATCGGGTACTGACCATGACTTCCTTCCCATCGTCGCTGTGATGGCTGCAGGAGGAACACGGAAATTACAACCCTCGAAATCGTTCTTTCCCACTTGAAGACTTCATCATCACTGGACGTAACTTCCCGAATTGGATTCTGGCGTCCTACTGGGGTATGCACCCAATGGCGTATGGAATATATAAACCTAACCCCAGCACAAGACAACCATCGAAAGCCCGCATGGCTCAGTGGTAGAGCGCATCACTAGTAGTGTTACAACTGACAACACATGATGAGGTCGTCAGTTCGATTCTGGCTGTGGGCATTATTTTTGCACTAAGGTTCTTTTTTTGCCTTTCTTTGGGCGTGGTTTTCTTTTGGCTGAGCTTGAAGGGAACGCCACGGTGTGGCCATCAACATGTTTCTACAGGTGTGGGTGGTCGCGTATAGAGCAAAAGTCGGGTCGGCGGGACCAACAAGTATGGCGGGCGTGTAGTACTCGGTTGTAGTAAAAGTTGTAGGCGACGCTAACATCAATTGCGATGGCAGTACTAGCGACGATAGAGTAGAGTACCGTATGCAAGATACCCGAATCCTTGTTGTGCACGAGTCCGAAACGGGGCAAAGGGGGAGGGGGGGGGGCAAGGGAGGAATGACTTCTTCAACCAAATCCGCCGAAGCAAACTCTTCGGATCCGTCAACCAAGCTCGGCTGATTGAACCTGTTGCGCGGGAGGTTGGAATGGCCGTAAGTGGTCTCGAACATGTAAGCTCCCTACACGATCTTTTGCGCAGCCTTGTGAGTACCTCTGAGAGCGGAAAGGGGCGCCGGATGAGTTTTGATGTAGGCTACGAGAGCGGTTGCTTTTTCTGGTGAGAGATACCATGGAGTTATGATGTGATACGCTTAATTCGTTTTTTGCTCATCGTCCACTTTCATGTCCTCGACCTGTCTTCGGGGAGCTTCGTTGAACAGACTATGGACCGCAGCCCATCTTATCCGCCGCTTATGGTTTCGAAGCTCCGCCGGGTTTGGCTGTTGTGGGTATGATTCGTCTTGTTCCGTGAATTCGTTCATGGTTGCGTTCAGGAGCGGGCCAAATACTGCCCTGGCTTCATCATTACCTCTACGCAAGACGTTAAGCGCCAGCTCGGCCTCTCTGGTTGCCATGCGGTCTTGGTTCTCCTCTTCGCCTAGGGCGATGGCCGAAACGTCCGGTGTCCGTATCGGATCGATGTAGTATCTTTCCAGTGTCCGGGTTTCTGGATCATGGTTCAGCAGCGCTCTGGCACTCTTGATGCCAACTCTTTTGTGTCCGGCGAATTCGTTGGCACTCCTTCGTCTCAGCGAGTAAAACGTGATGGTTTCTAGGAAACCGAGTTTCATCCCTCGGTCTTTGAGGTAGAGTGTCAGTGAGTGCGCACTGACGGATTTGTCTGATACAATCTCATCCCCTTTAGCCTTGGATTGTAGGAGGACCGGGTCGCCCAGGTATCTCTCCTTAATGATGATGTTCCGCCGGTCTCCATCCAAAAGCTCGTCAATGGTGCTGTAATGCTTGAGGATTCCCCTCCGGGAGGGTGATCAACAGAAGCCTCTGATGCGGGACAGATAGAAACACCTCATGCTATCTGCCTCTTGGGCGGGCATGATGTTAAAACATTTTGTGCGCATGGCATCGGGCTTAAAAGTTGAACGCTCGGCGTCGTGGTCGTAGTTGGTCTTAAAGCACCGAATGGTAAGCCTAACGTCAAACATCCCCGGGACTCTCTCCACGGGAGATGGGAACGCCCTTCTATTTCAAGAACATACCGTTGTCGTGCATACCAGACCAGCCGATGCTGCCTGGTCGAAGAGCATATATGCGGCCTAAAGCCCAAGCAAGATGGTGGACCTCGGCCACTTCGTGAGATCCGGGGTGGAGGATATCGTAATCGATGAGCATTCGCAACTCGGGGAGGCCGACGACTTGCAGTAAGTGCGTTCGAATTGTATGCCCACCTCTAGCAGTCCCTTAGCCGCAACATATCTCATCGTCGTAGTAAGGCTGTTCCTAGTAGAGAACTTTAGCCCCTCTTGGGTCTATAATTTGTTGGCCCAGAAAATGAATGCGTCTATCCAATATTGGGCATAACAGAGATATTGAAAATATTTAGGATTTTCCATCTAGTCTTTCAATTTTAAAGGCCTGTCATCCATGACAGAAGGCCATATAAAGACGACGAGAGGCTTTAGGCGACACCCATCAGATAGAAGATTATATAGCATCGTAAATCCTTGCTATTGTTCTATATCGCTTCCAACCTATGATAGTTTCTCTTTTAAAAGGCTAGGTACCTAACAAAAGTACTGAAAATCTCTTTCCTATACTGTTTTTGCATAGCTTAAGTAGAAAGTGGAATCTATATCCGTGATAATATTTGAAGTTGGACAATAACGCCAGCATAAGTACCTCTATAAGCAAACAACTACCAACCCACTAATATACTTCGCTACCCGCCGGAAGTTTTCAAACCTCAACTCTAACGTCAAGCTCCGGTATTGCTAATAATAGCCGACGATACTGACCGGGGACTTACTCATCCTTCTTAACATTCTCCTCATTATCATCTTCATCCTCCTCCTCCGAATCTGCAATGATGCCTGATTTCTTCCTCTTGAAAGAGCCTGACTTGGTCTTGCGTCGCTTGACCTGGGAGCTGTTCTGGCTGGCGTAATGGGTATCTTGGCTTTTACCGCCGCTACCAACAATACGCGGGGATTTGCGTCAGTGAATGGCCTGCTGGCTGTCTTCCTTGTACCGCCTGCTCAGACTAATGTACAGTTGAATCTACGCATCGACTGTGGCCAATGCTTGCAAATTGGCCAAAATGGGGTTCTCACCGCGCTGGGCGGTGATGAAAGAGTCCTCCATGTCGTCGTCTGCAAAGAATGTCAAGCAGTGTTGGTAGAAGGCTTTGGCTGGAGTTGGTGTATTTTTGGAAGCAGTCACATATCCTTTCGTGCCGGTTTCCTCGGTCCAAGTGCGGTGATAGTCCAGGATTCTGGGGAGGTGGATGCCATCCTGTCCACATAGGTTGGCGATGGCATTCCTGACGGTTTGCGCCTGAGCCTCTATCTGAGTTACCGCCGCTCCCACCGCGTCTCCGGCGCCAGCATCGGATTGTAATCCACTTCTACCTTCGTAATAGATTATTAAGTTTAATTAAGCTCCGGATAAGGATGTCAAGATATTCAAGCCTGAGTACTTACTCGAATTGGCCAACTGTCTTCGCGCCGAACGGCCTGTCGTATTGGATACGGATATCCTATCACCGCTATATCGCAGATTATTGTTGGTCTTGCGTAACAGGAGCAGGCTCGGCGGGCGCAACGACGGGAGCAGGAGCGGGAGCAGGGGCAGGGCGTCTTTCTCCCTCAAGACCATAGCCATCAGCTCCTCATGCTTCTCTATCAATTCGACATATCTTGCCCTCAAGTCATTATGCTTTTTGTTTTCCGCCAGCAGGTCCTCGTACTTCCTCTTCCAAGTGTTGACAGCCTCCTCGTGTCTGCGAACGAGCTCCTCCTTCTCCCTTTTAGCTTTCTCCTCAATATCTGCCATCATCCGCTTGACTTCGCCCATTGTAGCAAAGTTCTCATCGGGGTCAGCGGGTGCCAGCTCGGACTCAGACGCCAAGTCAGACTCCGCCGCACCAACGACATATGCGTTCATCTCGTCCACCTCGTAGTCTAAAGGGTCTATAGTAACACTCTTTAGAAAGTTGTCTGTTAATACCACTACCGGACCCTTCTTCAACCTATGTAGGAGATAAACGGTATAAATTCTCATTAGGCGTATATTTGCCGATGAGTAGGCCACTGAACCATTAGAAAGCTCGACTGGGGTCGTCATGCCCCTACTCACGATCACTACCTGGTCTAATTGCTAGCGCTGTGTTGAGTATGGCCTGTACTGTACCCGTATTGTCCCGGGTGTCATATACAGGCCATATAAGGTCGCGGACCATTAGCAGTGCATTCCGGCACTATCGTACCTGGTTAAAGCGCGTAACGCCTAGGACACTTTGCCGCATACCAGCTACATCAGACACCGTAGAAAATAGCATGCCGCGAAAGCGATTGCTAAAGGCTTGCCTATTCTGGCAGAGGAAGGCTACATCATTCCTTCGGTATGAATTCTCTTATTTCTATCGGCAACAACAGTAAATAAAATCCTAATCATATATAGGGCTAATGTCACCGCCTTTCTCGAGACCAGTATAGCGTCCGCTTCCGCCAGCGCATGATCTTAGTCGTCAGCGTGAGGGTCTGCTTCCTAACCGTTGTAAAGTGTCTTCGGAAGGAGAGGACCTCCGGCGTGATATCCAGGTCGTCTCCTATAACTCCTAGTGATTCGGCCTTCGCCGATGAGGAAGTGGATGATTGCTGTGATTGTCTTGAGGCTGTAGTATTTCTGCCCAGCTCTTTTTGGCCAGATGCGCTTTCCAAGAGAAGGGATCTCGACCCAGATTACTGATCTTCTAGTGAAACCACCAAATCCTGTAACCAACCAAACCAATGTTGAAAATCACCTACTAGTATTGAGGGCTTTCTATCTAAAGTCCTGCGGTAGAAAGAGCATTGTAGGTAGAGGACAAAACTATATATATAGAAGACAAAACCCCATATGTAGAGGACGAACCCATATATTGGAAAGACAAAACCATATATGTGGAGGACAAAACTTTATCGGTATCCTTATGCTGCACGTATACTTCCGCGAGCCTGACTTTGAGGATGACGAATTGACCTAGTTCATCACTAGATACATTTTCTCGGCAGTATATAGAATATATAATAAGAACTATACTAGCCTCCTACTAAAATAGAGTCTAGACTCAAGGCTACTAAAGATCGTAGGTAAGGTCTGTGAGAGACTATTGAGCAATAGGAAGAACTTTGGGATACAGGCTCTACAGTGGATGAAAGGTAGTAGCCAAAATCTATAAGAAGGTGTTGACGATGCACTTCTTGGGCACGAAGATATCGAGGACACTTGTTTCAATAGTACAGGTGTGGAGGACGAAAATTCCAATAGTAAAGTTGGAAATGATCTTGATGCGGGAATACTTCGGAAGAGGAAAAAGAACTGCGCTATCTCCGAGCTTCGCTTCAGCACCAGACCTCAGCCGACGCTCAAGTTTACCACTGCTTCGGTTGCGGTCCAACGAGAAGAAGAAGAATAGGCGTGAGTGTACTTTACAAGAAAGTCCTCATTGACGAGGTTTTGTGGCGATGGGTGAAGGTATAGGGAAGGGCGGCTGTTATTCCTGTGGGTGTGATGGCTGCGTGTGGTGGTGTGGTGATCCAGTTGACGCTGGTTGAACTTTAGGGAAGGGATGAAATACGGCATTTGCGGCCACATATCCGAGAACGAATACTATAGCCGTAGCCGCAATGCGGTCAACACCATCATTAAAGTAAAGAGGACTGACCCACGCAAAGGTGTCGACGATACCATCTCACCTAGTGCATTCAACCGCCCAATTAACCACGTCATGATGAAGGCCGCATACCATGATATAAGCGTTGTAGTTGCCAATTCAAAGTCGGATTAGATATTGAACCTCGACAAGGCGGGATTGATGTCGATGATAAACAAGGAAGGCCGACGTTTCTACCCCTCCAACCAGTCAGCTGTTATTGTATACTACAAGTAGGATACCGGAATGGTTTTCCCGGTTAAACAACAAATCAGACGCATGCTGGACTACATTATCAACTCTGCGATTACCGCGTCCATTACCTACAAACCTCAGTATGCGGAAACCATCGGCCGCGATAAATTGAGATTGAAGGCGTACGCAATTATGGCGGTCTATACGAGGGACGTAGGTCTGGTTGACGACTAGTATATGGCCATCACGGAGGCACGCCGCAACTGGATCGAATCGCACGCCTGGGCGGACACAAGACGGACTCAGATCACTAGGACAAGAGTATTCCATCGCCGGACTAAGCTGGGTTTACCTTCCGAATGATCGAGTGACCCAGAGGTGGCGTGTATTTTATTTCCTCCCAGAAGGAAAGAACCCTCGCAAGCTCAGAGCTCAGAGGTCTTGGGAGTCAAACTCCAGACGGGTGTTTACTAATTGGAAAGTGCATATCAGCAGCCATAGCCAGGGAGAATCACAGTGTCATGACGTAGTAAGTAGGACAATGGAGTGAGCGCCTTCTAGTCACATGCTGGCGATGATGGGTTTGACCAGGCAGGTACCTAGGCTCGTCCTCGACAAAATCCTTGAGACCCTCGATATCACACCTTGGGTATACCCTTGCTACGCACCCAAGCATCTTCATTACTCCTTTGAACTTAATTTTCGCGCGAACCCTGGACAGAAAAATCCCGAAGGGACCCTAGCTAATGTGTTCTTGAATGATTATAATCCTTATTCCAAATTTGCAACAGCCTCTGCTAACTATACCGAACGGTATCGGACTGATTCAACTTGACTAACTCATTCACTGCCCGCTCGGCAAAGGTCTTATTAATTTTCTGACGGACGAGCTAGGTAAGCTGCTTTCCAATGCAAAGCCGAGTGAGTGTTAGAGAAAGGGGATACGGAAGGAACGGGTTGTGACTTGTTCAGAACGCCTCTTTTTGATGGTTCTCCAGTCCCTGGAATGCATACCTAGCTAGCCCTTGCTGATATTTAACAGTTGCACATGGAAGTATCTTTCAGCCTGGTACATGAAGGAACCAAGCGTGAATCTACATACCACCAAAGGAATTATCGGTGTGAGTCTGGACCCGAATGTACTTAAAGAGTTAGGTAAGTAGTTAGTTACCCACTGATTATTAGAAGTGAAACACCATTCCTGCCAGCGTTGAGGTCTCCTAAGTGACGGCATGACTGAACCGCTGAATAGCCAATTGATGGCCAGCCTCCATCCATAACAGCAACTGAGCGTAGAGGTAGTCAGGCACGTGTCAGGATCACTGATGCCGGGCAACAGGAAGTTACCGTAGGCAAATTAAATATTCTGAGCTTTCAAGTGCTAAGAAGTCTGTCGACGAGATGTAAACCGACGGGGTAAAGGTATTGTCTACGTCGAGGAACGATCTTCCACGATGTAGACCCCGGAGGCCCATGAAGGCTATGGTTAGTCGACTGAATATGAGACGCATCCCTTCTGGCCTTCAGGTTTCTTACATGACGGCATGGTTCAATCGGTGATGACCGAGCTCCTGCTACAAGGCTGGCGAACATAGCCAAAGTCGCCGAGGTAGGTAGTAATGACCTCATCAGGAGTCACAGTTGACAGGGAAGTTAACGAGGAAAGTGAAAGGATTTGAACTTTTTTTTGCCATGCCATTTTGCAAAAGAAACCCCGTCAACCGTACACCATCCCAAGCCTTTTTATGTTTTACCCCTCCAAAGTAGCGTAGACACATCCATCCATCCATCTATGTAAACGAATCCGCTCAAACATTCATTAAACAATTCCAAGTCCAGCAACCCTCCGAAACCTAAAGTTAAGCCTTAACCATAACAGCCTCAAAGCTCTCCTCCAAAATCTTCAACCCCTCCTCAATCTCTCCCTCCGTCACCAACAAACTAGGCACAAACCTGAGGGTGTTCGTTCCCGCGGTAATGACCAACAGTCCCCTCTCCCTCGCAGCCTTGATCACGGGGGTAGGATCCTCACTCAACTGCAGCCCCAAGATAAGTCCCTTGCCCCTAACCTCCTTGACCAAGCTCGGGAACTTGTTCCTGAGCTTCTCAAACCCTCGCAGGAAAACCTCGCTCTTTGCCTTGACTCCCTCCTGCAATTGCTTATCGGCCAGCCTGCCAACAATGTAATGCGCCAGTCTGCATGCAAGCGGGTTACCGCCAAAGGTAGTACCGTGGTCGCCAACCTTGATCTTGGAAGCGACGTGCTCGTTGACGATCGTAGCGGCGATAGGGAAGCCGTTGCCGATGGCCTTGGCGGTCGTCAAGATATCGGGGTGAGCTTCCTTGGGCAAGGAAGAGTGCGCCCAGAAGGTTCCCGTGCGGGCCAAACCGCACTGAATCTCGTCGTAGTGGAGCAGCGCGCCCACCTCGCGGCAGCGCTTACCCAGCGCCACGAGGAATTCCTCAGTGGCGGGCATCACGCCTCCCTCACCCTGGATGGGCTCGACGATGACGGAGCAGGTCTTTTCGGTGACCAAAGAGGGGATAGCGGCAATGTCGTTGTAGGTGCCTACTTTGAAGCCGGGGACCATGGGCGCAAAGGGGGCCTGGTACTTGGGGTTGGGCGTGGCGGAGAGGGAACCCATGGTGCGGCCGTGGAAGGCGTTTTGGAAGCAGACAATTTCGACTTTGGAACCGGAGGGGTCGAGCACCTTGCCGACTTTACGGGCGAACTTGATACCGGCTTCGTTGGCTTCGGACCCGGAGTTGCAGACGAAGACGGAGGAGGCGTCGTGCATGCCGCCCGAGGCCTTTGTGGATTCGACGAGGAGCTTGGAGAGCGCGCCGGTCCAAGGGTTGTAGTAGAGGTTGGAGGCGTGGACGAGTTCCTGGGCCTGTGGAGGCAATTGTGAAGTCAGTTGACAGTCATCTTGAATACAAGGAGGAGTTGAGTATGACCGCACCTGCTCAGCAATGATCTTGGAAAACTCCTCATCACAGTGACCGAGCGAGTTAACAGCAATACCCGACGTGAAGTCGAGGTACTTGCGGTCCTCCAAGTCCCAAAGGTAAGAGCCCTTGCCCTTGACGAAGACGGGAGGAGGGCGAGAGTAGGTGGTCACCATGTAGGGGACGTGCTCGCGGACCATCTTGCCGCTGGGCGAATCCTCGGTCGGGTCGGGGTGGGTGAGCTGAGAGGCGGTGGCATAGGAGCGGCGGGCAGCAGCAGCACCGGCACCGGCGCCGGCGAGGCGGGTGGCAGGCGCCGCGTTGACGGCGGCGACCCGGCGGAGGGCGGTGCGGAAGGCCATGGTGACGGACGGGCGGACGGAGAAGGAGGCCGGATGGGAGAAAGAGGTGCAAGAAAGGAAAAAGAGGCTTGCCGGGTGAGGGAAAGGGTAGGTAGATAACACTGCAAAGATTAGGTGGTGGAAGACGGAGTCACTTCCCCAGATTAGACAAACGTAAATTAAGTGGATTCGCTGGGACGAACGGGACGGGATTGACAGGGACCAGACGGGAAGACAAACAACGATGATAGCAACAAGAAGAGTTCAATTGACGCCAGAAAAGAAGTTTATTTTACAGCAATGACAGCGACAATATGTGACTGACGAGAACCCAAAGACAAATCAGTCACGCCATGTGAGCAATTAAGCTGTCCCTGGTTATCTTCTCCAGTCAGTCAGTCATACTCACAGTCATTGTCACAGGACAAGAAAAAAAGCTCGCCTCGCTAGGATGCGGAGTGTACCGATTTCGGGGGTTTCCCGTAAATTTTGGCCGAACACTCATGCGATGGCTATCGATTAGATCCTTTTGACCAATTGGCTTGTCTAAATCCATCAAGGTCCCCCTTATCAGATCTTTAGCTGAACTGAATGGGGTGTGTTTTCGGGCTTGGAAGATGCCTGTCTGGAGTTGATGAGCATGTCGTCGTCTTTATCTCGTCGTCTCGAAGATTGGGAACCAATTAATCCGGATAAACATGATTCTTGACTTTCCGGCTTCGCGGCTTGCAGTTCCCAGTTGTTTCGCTGTCCCGTTGTTGGAGCGGATGGACCTGGCCTGGCTTTGGGTTGACATCGAGATGAAGCACAGGTCGCCGCTTGCGCAATGCAACTAACGAAGTGACTCAACTCAACTTGCTCGTTCGTGGCTTGGCCAGGGTTAGGAGAAACTGAGCCTCAACCTTCGCAGCCTCATTTCATCCAGGCCGGCGTGGCTGAGAGAGACCACAGCTGGCAGCACCAACCTCCCACTCACCACCTGGCAGCAAGCTCACAACGGCCTGACAAAGGCCTGCTCCCCAGCTGACCAAAACCCATAAGCTCCACTCAAATTTTCAAAGCTTTCACTCGTGCACAGACCCCGTATCCTTCCGGTCTGAAGGGTATAAAACATCGCCCACCCAGTCTCGCTTTTAGACTTTTTTTTCTCCTTTCTTTCCTCGCCCTTCGGGGCAATTTGGTCAATTTGAAACGATACAGAGAAGATTAGCATGGCCCCTGCACTAAGGATGACACGCTACTCAAAGAGACGCTACCAATTTTTTTTTTTTTTTTTCACTTTGATCTTAGCCTGAGTGGTTGGGACATTGGGAAGAAAATGGTTTCGGTTGTGGTTTGTGGTTGTGATGTTCCACCACCCTGGAGGTTTGGACTGCTCATCCGGAAGTCATGAACTTAATCAATTTATTTTACCCGCCCACTGCACTCAACACCCAACTGATCCTACTTTGCCTCATGATACTTCCCAGCGCTATCCAAAACTAGTATTAATTCTGTGTGCGTGTTTATCATTAATCATCAACCACCGAGCCACCCAATCCAGTTCATTGTGTTACGGGCGCATTTCCCAATCAACCTTGCCATCCTGCCAACCTGCCTCCCTGATTGACGAATTACTCACAACTGCCTCCCATCATCCATCATGTTTACCACCACCCCCTGTCCATCATCGTCATCATCGACATCTGTCAGTGTCCCTGTCTATGATGACCTCGTCCATCACCTCCTCCTTGTCCGTTCCGCCCTCCTCCACCATGATCACTTCCCCGCCTTCCTCCGCCATCGTCATCGTTTCCTCTGCTGTGACTGCTTGACCCATTCCCATTCCCACCATCTCCACCACTACCGCCGGTAATAAACGTCTCATCAAATAACCCATACAAAGCATACGCGTCAAAATTAGATAACGACTCCATCATATGACTGTCCCCGATGGCGTCCAGGCCCAACACATCCGGCAAGTTGTGGAGGTTGATCTCGTTGCACTCAAACATAAAGTCGGGCGTAAAAGCAGAGTAAAGACCTGTCGAGAAGGTGTTCTGGTTGAAGGGATCGACTACACCGAGCCCGGGGTTAGGACTGGGGCGTGACGTTGCTTGGTGATAATAGTCATTGTTGTTGGTAGTACTGTTGTGGTTGCTGTTATCATACGAGTTGTTGTTGTTGTTGTGCTGCTGCTGCTGCTGCTGCTGCTGTGGGTAATGACTCTGGCCCTGGGTTTGGTAGGAGGGAGAACTGTTGTGACCGCTGTGTCCGTGATGTTGCTGTTGTTGTTGTTGTTGATTCTGATTCTGATGGTGCAGCCCTCCTGGATCTGTCAAGGGTCCCGATGGGGGAGATAATAGAGTGTTATCAAGTGGAGTGCTTGCATGTTGCGTTGATGGACTGTTCAGGTACGAGTGGCGATGAGGCGGGGGTGCGAGCGGTGGCAAGGCTGGGCTGAGGCTTTTCCCATAGGCGTTAAAGTTCGATTCGCTTATGGTGGGACTGTCTGATCCCACCGTCATGTCATCCGAGCCTGGTGTTTCGTACTTGAGGGATGTTCCCCTGCTTAAAGTGGAAGTGGAACGTCTGTCGCGAAGATGGCTGAACGAAGATGAACGGCCCTGATACCTTGCTGTCGGAACATTGGGTTGCGGATGCGGCGGCGGATGGAACACCACCGTTGGTGTGTCCTGCCGGATCGGATCATAGATCATGTTTCCTGGTGGCGTTGCGGCTGTGGTAGGCTGTGATGTAGGTGGAAGAGGCAAAGCGACTGATGACATGGAAGGAACTAACATGAAATTGTTGGACATGGCGGGGTTGGACGTGTTTGTATAGATTCTCGTGAGATTCGAGCTGGGCGAGCTCGTCGTACCGGATGTGTTTGTATACAGTCTCGTAAGGTTCGAGTTGGGCGAGTTCGTTGTGCCAGTAAGTGAAAAGGCAATAGGCGGCACACCTGGCGAAGGTGGGATCGGATTCTCGAACCCCATCAACCGCTGAACTGAGGCCTGACGGGTTCGAGCAAGCATACGCTCGAGCTCGCCCGGTGCAAATGTCTCACAGTCCTCAATGCCCTGTGATCTCTGCTCCATGGCGTTGATGATGTACCCGACTCCTGCCCAATACTGTTCAACGCGTGAAAGTGCCTGAGAGCAGCGCGAGTAGTTCGCCGCCGCGGCCGAAGTGAGTAAGGAGTGTCGCGGTCTATTATCGGTCGGTATGCTCAAACGTCCGCCATGTGTTCTCGAGCCGGTACTCTTGTTGATCGCTCCTGGGGATTGCTCCCGTGATGGTGGGCTTGAAGCACTCAATGCAGACTCTTTGAGGAAGGCGCATCCGGCGATGAAGATGGGCTGGGACGTGAAAGGATTGCCAATGTAGCTCTGATGATCAATGAGTTCGGCAAAGGCAACAATATCCGCAATGGTCTTTGCGCTCGATCTGGCCAGCTCACGACTGTTGGACAACAGCTGAATGTTAGTGAGCTTACCGAACGGCGTGAGTAGTGCTGGTTCATGGAGGATAATGATCATGGCATGGAACCAGAAATGAAGTAGTATGAAAATGGTTCCTTGGCCCGCCTCGACGTAGTGCTTGAAGTTGTGGGTATTGAATACCAGCCGCTCGTGCTGTTTCGAGTAGATTATCGTCAAGTCGCTTTCCATTTGCCGCAGCTTCTTCATGCTCTCCTCCGTGAGATCATTCGCATCCCGGATGTTGTTGAGCACATCGGACGCGCGACCGTAAAGATGGATGATCTTGATGCAAGCCGGGAAGGGATCTGGCCAACCCTCTTGATCAAGAGTGGGTTCGGGAATTTCCAAATCCATGTCATCATCTCGCAAAGTGACTGGCCTGCCTGTGCCGGATGAGATGATTCTGTCCAGCATAAAGACTGCCCAGAACGTGTCGATACGTGCCTGCTCCACTTCCTTTTGCTCTTCGGGGCTGATTGTTTCCTCCTCTTCTTGCTTGTCCGTGGGCGAGTTTCCGTCGTCGTTATACTTGCTTAGCCACCTCCTGGTGAACCACGGATCACGAGACCCTTGATATTTGACACCCTCCTTCTTCTGAAGACCTAGATCAGTAGCCATGCGGATGGCAAGGCCCAAATACATCCAAAGGGCACTGTCCTGGTTTGCGCCAAAAGCCTCGTATGCCATGAGCAGAAAGGCCTGAACAGCGGCGACTGACGGACAGGAAAACGTTTCAACGGTGGCGTTCTTGACTCGTTGAGCAAAGACATCACCATACTCGGACTTGGGAACTCTGCTGCCGTCCTGCTCATTGGTGAAGGTAGGAAGCTCGGAGAACCGGGCAGCCAACGCACACATGGCATCGACCAAGATGGGCTCCACCTGCTTCTCCTCGAGCTGGCGCATAAAACGTTCCTCCTTCAAGAAGGGGTAGTTGCAACCCAGACGAATAAAGAAGGTCTTGACCAAGACCTTGATGATTTCGGGCACCGGCTTGGAGTCGTCGGTGGAGTATACCGGCATGTCCTCCAGGGTAGGAATGTCCTTGAGGGTTTCCTGTATCGTTCTCGGCTGTATGTGATGTGATGGCGTCGGTGTTGTTGCGACTGACGAGCCGGTTCTCATGAAGCGTGGGTCCCTAAAAGAGGGTTCTTTGGGAAGGTTTTGCTTGAACCCGGGGACAATCGCCGTAGGACCGAAATAGCGAAAATACGGTATACGATCTCTTCTCCGTACGGAATGGCTGTGGTGCTGTGTCGGTGATCGAATGCCGTTTGAGTTGGACTGTCTCGCCGTTCTCGTAGAGCTGGGTGACCTTGAATCCTGACCCCAGTCATTACTAAGTCCCCGCGGCCGGGTGCCTGAATAACCGTGGTTTGAAATGGAATCACGCCTCATGGAAGCATCTCTATCAACAACGGCAAAGCCGGCCGTTTTGCTCCCTGGGGCCGTCTTGCTCTTCCATTGTCGGTGAGGTTCTTCCTCTTCCTCCTCCTCGTTGTCATCGCAATGTTCATCATCATCATCATCCGCTGCCTCCCTTTTCACCCCGGCAACTTGGTCGTGGTCACCTTTTGTCAGGCCGTTGCCCCGGTTGTCCTCCTTCCTTCGCTCGACCAGATCGTTGTAACCTTGACACTGGTGCCCGTTCTTTGTGCAGGTCGAACAAACCGGTTTCTCACCGGCACATCGGGTCTTCCTCTTGCGGCATGTCAAGCATCTGTTAAGGTAAGTTGGTTTAGATAGAGCCCATATATTGTCACACATTCTTTCGTGCTGCTAATCTCCATGCCGCCGGTTTCTCCGTGGTGTCTCGGGCAGCGGGGCTCTTTGAATTACGCGTCTCCTCGGCCACATGGCTTGCAGTATGGGATGAAAACATGCATAATCATTGATGTGGTATGATGGGGATACAAAAAGGGGAACACGTACGCTGCGTTGATCCTCCGCCTCTTGGAAGGAGGTTGGCCTTGGTTGTTTACAAAGCGTATCTGCTTGGGAGGCGGCAGGGGTGCGGTCATCAGGGTCATTTCAGGCATAGCTTTATAGAATAACCATGATGGTTTGCCAAATCCTTAATTTGTAAATATTTTGTCGATTTTTCGAAGCCGTTCCGTGAAACCGTTGTTGGAAGGGAGGATAAGTGATGGTGTTGCTGAGTGGTGACGGACGCTTGGCGCACGTTCAAGATGGTGGGGAAGCCTATGTTTGTGGAAATGATGATGGAAGCTATTCTTGGCAGCAGCAGTGTTAGGTTTGGATGGATGGGTTTGGGCGGCACGCGGTTGTTTGGTTGTTCGGCGTGGCCAAATTGCCCTGGTAAGATTTTGTGATATATCCGAGCTTCCGCCCAATGAGTGAAGGAGCCGTCCAAACGTTAGTGTGAAGCTTCTTCTCTCTCTTTTTGCCGTTTCGTGCAAGAGCAGAGACGATCTTTTCAACAGGCGCGCAATAGCATAACTAGTTATGCATCGGTCATGCCGTTGAACGTGATTCTGCGGGCAACGATCATTTCCGGGATTCGGAAAAGGGTGTCGAAGAATAACGGTCAAGATGGCTTGGAAGCGTAGTCAGGTGGTGTGCAAGCCTCCGGTACGTCAGAGACCCCTCGTTCTAGACTGACCAAAAGGAGAGCTGGCAATATGGGGAAGTAGGATTCCAAGGGTTAATTCAGCATGCCGATCTCGAAGACAACCTGGAAGCCGCGCAAGCACGGGATTTCGTTCTCTGCTGGGCTTATTCGCTAACGTCGTATCAGAACGCAACCCTGACATGACCCAAACACAGCTGAAGCTCCAACAACAAGAAGGGGAATGAATACCTCGGTGGCGCGTGCTCGTGTGCTCTCGTATGTGACTGAATGAGACAAGGAAGGAATGGAAGGGCTTGAGAAGTGAGAGATGCGTCGTGGCTGGATTTGGGGATCCGGCTATGGAAACGAAGTGGAGGGAGAGAGATGGCACGATGACCTGAAAGGTGGATCGCAACAAGCAGATCCCTCGTCCGAAGCGCGACCGAAGATCTGCAGTGGTGAGGTGCCCCAGGACTTGTAGGTGTCGGGAACGGAATGACTCCGGGAGAGGGAAGCAGAGAAGAGGAACTGAACACCTAGAAACAAGGATAAGACATGCGCTTGGGGACGGAGAGATAGAGAGGGAAAAAAAATAAAAAAATAAAAAGAAAGAAAAAAACAAAGAGGAAAAGTTTTTGCGGCGAGGCAAGAGCGGGCGAGAATTGGAGACGGCACTGCAGGCTTCCTTCTTCCATTCCTACCTTAGCATACGATAGTTTGTTGACAGGGCTGGGCTAGAACACTTTTGTGTGCAGGTCTGTGTCCCCCCAATGTGTTCCTTTCTAGCGAACGGGAGACGGGCAACGGGGAAAGCAAAAGGACGTCCCGGCGGCGGCTTTTACACGTGTAGTGTAGGGCGCTTTGCTTCTGTGCGAGATCAAGCCGGGCAGCCAACCACGGGCAGCGGCCACGATGCTTCACTACAGCTGATGCCGATGTCGCGAATATCGTGAAGCACTCTATTTGCAGCCCTCAGCGAATCGCGTCCCCCCTACGAATCGGCGCCAGCGTCATGATTGGGGCGAGAGAAATGCGGTGGTGAGTTGAGAAATGTGATGTGTACACTGATTGTGTATGTGTCAATTCCGGACTCCGACCAGGTGCAGCACCGCCATCACCTACAGTAGTGTACATCTCCAGCTTCATGCTCGCTCGCTCAACATGGAGCGAAGGTGTTCGTGGATTGTGCTTGGCGGTGATGCCCGGGTGGCGATACCGCTCAATCTCCTCCATGTCGGATTTATCCCCACGCTTAAGGAGCCAATCATATCGCTCTCTGGGTCTGAATGCTACGTCTAAACTGCCGGCCTGCAGACTCTTTCGCAGATGCAATTGGCCGTTGAACGTGGGGATATTTCCGGGTCAAGCAAGAAACGGAGGTATGTACATACACACTGTCTGTCTGCCTGTCGGTACACACCACTACTTTGGGGAGATTTGTCCCGAGGTGTCCATGTTCGGGAGACGATGCTTGTACTGTGGTGTACACAACTCGAGTTGATGAGAGACGGAATCTCGGCAAACTGGACAGACACGAACAGGACAGGAACATGAAAGTCAAAGCAGACGGATCAACCTACGAACACTGATTTTAGGTAGGTTCAGGTTCGTCGCACCTTCCCAAGTCCATGATGTGCAGTGTGCATTCATTTTGTGCATCGATGTGCGTCTTTTGACTCCACAGGGCAGGGAGTGTTCCTTCCCGCTGGGCTGGAGATCTTCGACGCCGCTGCCATGTATGGTTCGAACCCAACTCTGACTAGGCACAGAAAAGGCCCCCAATTCATCTGCGGCCTTTGCGCATTGTTGCGAGTCTAGATTCTCGCTGTCAAAGGATCTGCTCCATGCAAACTGGAACTTCAAGTAGCATTTTTGAACGTTTCTGGATGGGTACATCGGGTAGATAGATGTAGGGAGACAAGATACCGTAGCATCATCGTGCTCAGTGTCGACGCCTGCCTGGGCTTTTACCCCGCTTCTGGTCTCCCCAGACTTCCACCGTCTTACATACTTCAGGTTCACATGTTTGTGCCAAGCTTGGACCTCCTTGTGTAACCTTGGCAAGCGAGAGCTCGAGGGACTGCAGTGGAGGGAGATAACGGGCTGTCACTAAAAGGCAGCTTTGTTTCACACAGGAGTTTTCTCCGAATCATCAGCTACATGCTCTTGACCATTCCGAGCTGTTGCAGACAGAAACGGCTATATATAGTTTCGGACTTTCTCTAACGTGGTCAAATGCCCAAGAGTTTCCATTATGCTTTTCAGCTTATCAGGCCCATTCTTCCACCGAGAGGCCCTAGAACTTCGCATCTGAGGCCATCTCCACTTCGCAGGACGATGGATCTGTTCCCTTTCAAACAGTTTGCTATCTCTCCGTTGACATCCTGTCGTCTTCTTCACCCAAACACAACACTAACCCCCATCTCCCTACTAACCTGCCTCCACAGATCCTCTCCCGTTCCCATGTTCCCCAGCTTCTCCTGCTCCTTCGATCCCCTATCCACCCCAGCCCCAGCTCCAGCTACAGACTCAGCCCTATCCGCCCTCTCCCACACCTCCCTCACAATCTCCCACGCCCTCTCAATATTCCTCATCCCCTGCCTCTTCTTGACCTTTTCAAACGCTTGCTCCGCCAGCCCGCGATCATTTTCCGTCACAGCCTCGCACGCCGCCACAAACAGCGGCCACAGCAGCGCACCCATGGGCCCCTCATGCTTCACCGTCGCTGCGCAGTGCAAAAGCGAGCGATGGGTGTGCTCTTGCACCGCCCTGTGCGAGCGCCGATAGCCGTGCACGCTACGGTAGAGGTAGACAAAGGCCGAGTGGCGGTAGGCGAGGGCGTTGTGCCAGATGCTGTGCAGACGATTGCGTTCGGCCACCGTAGTAGGGGACATGACGTCGACTTCTGACTGGTGGTTCTGGTGGTTGCTGCGGACTTTGTCCGTCTTGCTCGACCCTTGGTCTGCTTCTTTATCGGGGGCAAAGCCGGGGGGCAGTTGCGGTTGCCAGCGTGATAGAGCGGCTTCGATGGCTTGGGTGGTTGCTTCGAGTTCGGTTCGCAAGACGGCCATCTTGGAAGCCGAAGCGTTGCTCCAGATGGCGGCTTGGAGGTCGCTTTTCAGCGTGACGATGCTGGACAGTCGGTGGATGATGGGCCACAGCGTGGTGGCCATGCCGAGGAGGGTGTCGACGTTGGATAAAGGGGAGGTCATGGGAGCGCCGAGAGGTGGGAAGGGCATCAGGCAGCCGGCGGTGGGAGCGGCCGAGAGGGGGGCGCGGCCGTTGGAGAGGGCGGCTATTACGTCGTAGAAGCGGAAGGCCTGGGGGATCTGTTAGTGTGAATCCTAGTGATGAGTGTGTCTGGGTGTGCGCGTACCCGTTCGAGAAAGATGCTGGTAGAATCGGATGGTTCGGGATTGGTGCACATGATGGTAAGTGCCCCTTTCAGGTGGCCATCCACTAGGTTTGATCGTCCTCTTTGGACCAGCTACATTGGCTCGCGTTAGCTCTCAAACTTGGCCGTGTCTGTAAGAAACTCACCACTTCATAGTAGATAAGCAGCATGATGGTTGCCAAAATTTCGTTTCGGTTCGACTTGGCACTCTGCTCTATTAGACGTCCAAGTCCCTGAATGGCCTGGTTGTGGAAGAAGAGGGAATGCTCCTCGTTTTGGATTCCTCGATATTCTAGATGGGCGCTAGCTAGAGCGAAGATGGCATTGAGCAGGGGCGAGCTCTGCCGCGTTAATGGCAACACCAATTGCTGGAAGGGGTTCCCACTCTCTTCACGAAAGACAATCAGGTGGGAAATAATATTACAAAAATGATCCACGAGACCTCGTCGGTTGGGGCGATCCGTGAACTCTGAAAATGCCGGCGAGTGAAATTCGAACAGAGGTGATGTCACCGGACACGGCGCTATCATGGCTAGGTCTGGATAATAAGGCGTTGGCCGTGACACTGTAGTGACGGCTGTGTAGGTCGTCCATGATTCCGCAACGCCACCATCTTCAGCATTCTCGGTCACTTCTTCGGCGTGGCTCAAGTCTGGCAGTGTGAAGAGTGACTCTGTGGGAGAGATGAGAGGGTAACTCGGCGTAGGTGAAGGTGCGTTCCAATAGGTGCTTTGGTGGAGGTCTGGTGGTGAGAACATGTAGTCCGCCTCTGTAGATTCCGGAGGACTCGCGCTGTCGCTGTCGTAGCCAAAGTCCGATAATCTCCGGGAGAGAGATAGCCTATGGCTGTCATTGCTGGATATAGTTGATGATGATGATGTCGCCAAGCTAGCCTTTCGACGCCTTCGAGGCCGCAAAGCCTCGTAGACACAGGTCGCCCCATGCTCGACGCAGCGTGAACATTGCGGGCGTCCCTCGTCACACTTTTTCTTCTATGGTGTTGAAGCGTGGTCAGTTAACAGACTCTAGTAAGAGCGGAGAGCGCTCGACCAACCTTTTCTTTGCTTTTCCAGAGGTCAGCAGCTACTTGATATTCGGGACAGCAATCTCACGAAAACCGAGAGAGTACAAGGAACAACTTACCAAAAGGTGCAGCCTAGAGCAGGTTTGTTCCAAGTTAACGGGGAAACAAGGGCCGAGAGTGCATTCCGGGTGGAGACTTACCGGCTCTTGATCGTCTCTTTGGCTCCTTTGGAGGAGCCAGTCGCGTGTAAAGAAGCATTTTTGCACCAGCGGGATCCATCTTGTTCAATATGGTTATGGAGAAAGCATTGTCCGTGTTCATGATGAAAGACGGAAATACGAGGCAAATGGGCGGTGACTACGATATGTCATAGGGAGATGGGTTTGGAATGAGGATATTAGCCGGCTACGTCCAGCACGTTGACGACAGCAGCAGTCTTGGCTTGTCAGTGAAGGTCACGAGGGAGGCCAACTTTGGTCTGGAGCGATCCTGGCGAACAAGGATGCTCTGTTGGGGCGTGCAAAACAAGCCTATTCTTCTTCTTCTTTCTAGGCTGTCCGCTCGTCTGCCTCCGAGATTTTCTTGGAAAGGCAAGGGCCGGGTTACATATTTCGCCCAATGTGCGGAGAAGGAAGCGTGAAAGTGCGGAGATTCCCCCACCTCGGAAACCTCCACCTCCACTATCCCTCCACCTTTCCTCCACCTTTCCCCAGAAATTTCCCCAGAAAGTCAAGAGTAACGCGGGGGGAAAGGGCTTGGCTGTCTGTTTCTGTCCAAGACTGCGGCAAGAACAGGGCACATCTTCAGCAGAGACCCATCCACTGACATTGAGCCCGTACCTGAAGCCATTCTTGAGATGGGTTGGTGTCATTAACCGTGATCCGAAAGATCAGAGCCGCATGGTGAGAGACATTGGGGCCAAGCGATCGGCCTATATATTGGTGAAATAGATTGGAGAGTCAATCACGGCTCGTCAGTCGCTTCGGTTCTCACCTTGGTGAACAACTCGGGTACATACTCGGACCGACCACACCGGAGACTGTGATCGGATCAGACAGACAGACTGCCTTTATACCCAAGCAGGCAGACTGTCGAATATCATAGCATAAGCTGTGATGGCTTCCGTCCCTTATTACAGCAACCTAAATGCGGACAGATTGGCGAAGCGGGGAGACAGAAGACTTCATTCCGCGCCGCCAAGTCTTGCTTACGTACCACCTGGACCACCCGATACGAAGCCGAGCAATATGTGTTGTAGGATTTGCGCAGAAATCATGATCGACCGTAGTTCAAACAACGTTCGATGTTGCCATCACCTCACAAAGAGATTCGAAACTGTATGGTGTTTTTGGTTGACGTGAGCGCCTCACTCCGTGGTACGCGTTGCTGTGCCGTACCGCTCAGCCCGATGGTATAACAACTCGATATAGCCGTAGGCACATGTTGGAACCCGGGAAGCAACCCAACATGCCGTCTGTCGTTGACAGTCGTGGAGTGCTTGTGAGATGTTGTCAACGGTGGAGACAGCAAATCTCGTCCGAAGAGGGCAGCCCTTGTTCCATTTCCAGCGCGCTTTGACCACAGGCTGGAGCGTGCGGATAGCTGTATGCACTAACAATTACTTCCCAACATCAAGACTTCCTCAGGATGGCGAGTTGGTGGTAACGTGCGTAGTAAGCGCTTACATCCCTCCACCACTTCCATACCTTGTTCGAGTACTCATATGACCCGACCCCATACCCAAAGCTTCCTAACCCAAGTGGATACGCCAAAACCGACCCTATACTGTAGAAAATCTCTTAATTGACTATTACTCCTTTAATATATTGTATATATACCTTTTAACTTTCCCTATAGAGAAACAACCGGCGCTTTTAATCCTAACAAATAAAACTTGCCTACAAATAAGAAATATACAAGTCCGAATAATATTAGCCCGAATTTACCCTTCCGTAAACCTTCTACGATAGTTTACAATAATATTTATATGATCTATCCCTAATTAATCTTTGATTTATTATATTCGATGTAAAATAAGTGTTTATTCTATTTTTAACGCTAATACTTTAATTATTATTATTAAACTTAGTTTAATTAAATGGAATAATAAAGTGTTTAATAGATTATCTACTATATTCAAATTATAGTAAATTGCTAATATAGTAGCCGAATTTAATAAGTTAGAGGATTTAAAGGATATAACCCCTCCTAATATTATAATACTTAATAATTTCCTAATAAATCTTATATTATATTATTAATATATCCTAAATATATTTTATATTAATTAATAATTAATTTTACGATATTAATTATATAAAGGTTGAGATTATAGGCCTAATATTTATTTTATTTAATAGTATTAATTAATATTTTATTTTTATCGAAACAATATATTATATAATTACTATTCTAGAATACCCCAAGTCTTCTACTTTTAGTATAATATATATTGTAAACGTTAATAGCTTAACCGAAGATTAGGTTAAGGTTTTGTGGAGCGAGGTATATAATGGTAGTATTTTGAGATAAAATAGTAGTATAAATAAGGTTAATATTTAATTACTCTTTTATATTTTAGATTTAGTATTATATTATAAGGAAAATACCTGCGAAAGAAACTTCCTTTACTTATTTGAATAATATTATCTATTATTATACTATATATAAATGTATTAGTATTAAATATTGTGAATATTTAAATTATAGAGTTTAGTAGGCGTATAAATAAGGGTCTATACTTATAGTCGATAAAGAAGTTATGAACCTTTTATTTTAGATCCGCTTTTAATAGGATAAAGTCCCTTTAATTAGGCGAGTTATTAGGTATAGATTTATCTATAATTTATCCCCGGCTTTAATTATATTATTGTAATTTGATTAACGATAATTATTATTTATTAATATGATTTTTATAATTAGTTGGGTATAGACGGTTAGAATACGTTAGGAGATATAAGGTTATAAAGAATCGAAGCTATTTTATAAATTTATTTAGTATATAAGTAAGGTATTTCCTATTTAAAATATACCCCTTATAATTAGCGTTATTTATATTTTTAATTTATTTCTATTAAAATAATTATTAATTATATTTACTATTAATTAAAGTATTAAAATTCGAAGTTAGGAGAGAGGATATATTTTTTTACTAACCTCCCTAATAATTTTAATCGATTTTAATTAGATATTAAATTAATAATCGAAGGTTATTTAAAGGATTTTACACCCAAACTATCGTATATTAAAGTATATACTAAAATATATTCTATATTAGTAAGAAAGGTTAAATATAGTAAATAAATCTTTCCTCCTTATTTTAAATATTTATTAAAAATTTATTAATAATAAATTAGAAACCGAATACTTATAAGGATATAGTACTATTTAAATTCGAAATTGCAATATTATTATTAATATTTATGTTTTAGCCAATATTAAAATTATCCTATATATTATTATAACCTCCTATAGTTAATATATATACCTATTACTACCTCTTAGTAAAATTCTTTAATATATTATTAATAATTTAATAAGGGTTTTATAGAGAGTAGGAGACCCTAATATAATTTAGAGTAAATAAATTCCTAATATCGACGATATATTAAAGATTAATTATTAATTAATTTATAATTTAGCGACTTTAATCTACAATCTATATTTTATTTAATTTCTTAGCGAATACGGTATAAATATTATTAATTAAGTATATATAAGTTTTAATAATATTAATAGGGTTTAGTTAGTAATTAAAAAGTATTGCGCTTTTATTTGGCTATTAGGAATTTCGAGCTTTGAAGCTATAATGTACGAATATTAATTAAAATATTAAGATTTAAATATTTGTGTAAATTTATATATTAGAATTTTATTAAGAGTAAATCGCTAAGTTTTTTTATTAAATAGTATATTTAGAAAGTTTTTAACGATGGAATTAATTTTATAATTATTTGTTTTTTTAAAGAGTAGGTAGAGTTCTTTTATAAAGGTTTTATTAAGTTTTTTAAATTGGATATAAATTATAAGTATTTTTTTGGTACGTAGAATAGAAAAGTTATATAAGGCTTCTATTTAAAATAGCTAAAGTAATATAAATTATTAAATTATTTTAAATCTATCCCTAATAAATCCTTAATAAATCCCTAATTACTATAGTTTTTCCCCTTATCTATATTTTAATTAATACCGATTTACTGAATATATATACCTTTATATTTAAAACCGTATTTAAAATTTTCAAAGTTAATTATAGATATATAATAAAGTAGCGGGAATTGGACGGAAAGGGTTTTTATAGTATTATTATAAATTAAGATTTTAAAGTACTTATAGGTAGATTTTTTATTTAATATTCTATTTCTAATATATTTGTATTAATTCCCGGTTAATTAATATAAAATTTTTAATATATATTTTTAAGAAAGATTACTACCGCTATAGGCCTATATATTTCGTTAGTTATATAGTATAATTTTATTATATTTATTTTAAGTGTAGTATTTAAAGATATATTTAGAATAATTTTTAATTGCAATAATAAATAGAAGGTTTATTTATATATAAAATTCTTAATAAATATATATAATTTTACTATTATTTAAAATATAAATTGGGCTCTATTATTTTAAATTTATATTAAACCTCTAATTATTTATATTATAGAGAATTTATAAGAAGAGGTTTAAAATTAAACTTAGAATAAATTTATTTTAACTATTTGTACTAAGTACAACCGTATTTACTTAAATATAAATTAAGAGATATAGGATATATTACAATTAAATACTAATATAGTTGAAATACTATATTAATAATTTTACTATTAGAGCAATTAGTTTATATCACTTCTTCCGTATATTTATACGTATATTTATTATAACTAGGGATTTATTACTAATATATTTAAAATTTACTATTAATATACTTTTACTAATTTATTAGTAGGAATATAAGATTCGATTGTACTTTTATAGTATATAAGGAAATTTAGATAAAGTATAGTATTAAATTTGGATATTAGGTTAATTTATTAACGGACTAATTAAATTATAATATAACGAAGGTAAATAGTAGGTTAATAATTTATTAATAATTTACTTAATATAGTAATAGCTAATTTTATATAAATAAATAAAAAAGGGATAGTACTCTAATAGGAAGAGAGAAAATAATTAAGAAAGTACTAATTTATTTCAATTTAATAATACCTCCTCGTTCCTTAGTTCCTCCTTTTATTTCTATTTTACTAAATTAAATAAAATTAATATTTAATAATTCGCCGGTTATATTATTATCCTAAACCTTTAGTAATTATTAATTATTTACGTAGGCTTCGTTCTTTGGCGTTATAACTCTAAAATTAATTGGGTTCTTATATACCTTAATAAAATATAATAAATTTAATATTTGAATTAAATATCTAATACTATAAATACTTACCCTATATGTGCGAATATTAATTTAAAGGGTAAGAGAGGTATAGGTTATAGAGAAGGATAGAGTATTTATACGTATCTTCGAACTTAAAATTCTCTAAATAAAGTAAATTGAAGTAGAGAGAGTACGTAAGAAGGAACGTAAAGAGGCGGCCAAGGCGGAAATTGCAAGTATTAAAATATAAAAAGAAGTTGCTAAAGTACAAATACAATTGTGGGAATTAACGAAGGGGGGTAAATAGGTAGGAATTAGGGTATGTTCGCCCGAAGTATTAATTTATTATATAAGTATTAGTAATTTAATTGGGATAGATCCTTATATAAGATTTTTATTTTATAGGATTTTTTAATAATAGAAATTAATTAATAGTTATTAAGCGATTAATAGAAGATTAATTATTTATATATTTATAAAGGTATATTATTAAATAGATAAGGATTTGAATATTACATAGTTTAAAATTTATAGGTTATATAAGGACCCGGTTTAATAATTATTATATAGTAAGGTATAGTAAGTATATACTTAGGGTAAATTACCCCTATAGAACCCCTCTATATATAGTTCGTCCTATTTTTATATATATAAAGAATAGTATATAAATATTAGTATAATAATTATACCCGACGAATAATTGTAATATATAATAATAAAGAATATTTAAAGGGATTAAATAAAAGTATAATATAAAATCTTCTATTGAATTTATTAAGTATTTATATTAAGATTCTCTATAATTTATTTATATTATTTTTTCTATAGGAAAATATTAATATAGTCCGTACTTTAAAATATCTACTTTAAATTTAAATAAATTTATATTAAATTATTTATATAATTCTTCTTCGGTCGGTCCTTCTAATTCCTTTCTTCCTCCTTCTTTTAATAATATATTTTTTAAATAAAATTTCCCTATAGGGAAATAATATAAATAGAGAAAACTAATATTTTATATTCTCGTAAAAGACCTTTAGTAATCTTGCCCATTATAAATATAAAATTCTCTCTAATTATCCCTTCTAATTTATATTTCTATCTTTATTTTTTAAATAATATAATTTAAAGTAAAGTTTCTTTATGTGAAAATAATATAGGTAATAAAGATTGATATTTTGTTTTATTATAGGAAATATTTACTATTTTAGTTATAAATAATATTATTATTTTTTTTTATAA